AAACTTTCCTCTGTTACTATTCATTTCTTATTGGTGGAAAGGGATTATTGGAATCATAAAGGAGATAACTCATTCAAGCATGTTCTTCTTTAAATTGTCTCAAACCGAGACACTGACAAAAGTATGAAAGTGGCTTCCTGGAACATTAATTGAATTCTAGTTTACATAAAAAAGAAACATGACACAAAATGGAAGCAAGAAAATACTACTTTCCCTTTCTTCTTTAAAGACTCTGAACAGATGAAAATAAAGCAGTGCATTTATTTGAACTGTGCAAATACTATGGATAATAAAAAACAGCCAGATTTAGGTGAGGCTTATCAGGATCCCAGATATCCCACTATGGAGAAGACAGTGACTAGTAACCAGTCACCCAAAGTCATCTGTTCAGTATGTGAGCAAATAGCACCTCAAATCTAATTACCCTTCTCAACAATCCCATCTTATTAATGTGCTGGAAAATGAACCTTAGAAATCACGGTGTCCAAATCCATTACTCTGCCAAAGTAAAATACACCAAACACCCAAGCTCACTCCCCTTCCATCTGATGACAAAAACCAAGGCTTCAGCCAGCTGGCAGGTTTTATTGCTGCCTTCACAGAAACGTACAGCTATAAGCACAGACTTAAGGGCTGTCATGGCAATTCAGTGTTGAATGAGGGAAACCAAATGACAGATGGAGACTCACCATGTAACTGAACTTTCTAAGCTTATGCTGCAACTGGTTTCAAAGCACTAACTGTAAAGCCATTAGACATACTTCCAATACATTATGCAGAGATGGAATCAAAATATTTCATTGTAACATCTGTGTAACACAATTTGGGATGTTACGCCAAGAAGAATGGTTAAAAACTTAAATGATTAAGGACTTGACAGGTCAAGTCAGAGAAAATGAAGACCAAAAATAAATCACAGAAGAAGAAAGCAAAAAAGTTAGTTAGCCAAGCAATAGAACAGTAAATAATCCTTAAACTACCCTTTCCCCATCACCTTTCATTCCAAAATCCTTGTTCATGACTTAGTGCACAATTAGCAGCGCTATGACACCACAAGTTGCAACTGCTCCATAATGCAGAAGTCTTCCTGTAACCATTCATCAACTGTGTCTTCTCTAATTAAAAATGACTCAGGAAATAAGCTGCACTATATTATTAAACTTCAAACAAACCAAAGCAAATTTAACTAAATTAACTCCATACAGTATCATGCTATGGATTTTGAAATTTAGCGCTGGAGAATTAACACCTGGTTGTAAAGTTCCTTTGAATAGGTATAAAGGCCTTTCCCCTGTAAAATTCTCCAGGGACCCAAAAAGGGAGCACAGCTGAAAGAAGACATATGCAAGGGAACACTTGCCAAGGTGCCCCTGCCTTGGCAAGGGTCTGGACTGGATGATCTCCAGGGGCCACTTCCAACTCCAAGCATTCTGAGAAATCACTAAGAAAAATATGATTACTGTTCCTGGCTTACACTTCAGCATGCCTTTCCTACTGCAATAAAAAAAGCTATTGGATCCTCCCAGGCTTAGGGTTAGTAGTTTTACAAAACACAGCATGAGTGATTGATAGAGAGGAACACCAGTGACTCCAGTGCCAGGTCCCACAACAACTGTGCCTCTAAAAAAAGAACCATCAATCCTTAAAAGCAATCCCAGGGCACTAAATCCAGCTTCCTTATAATGTTTCACAAACATCTAACATCATCCTGTAAACTCCAAGGTTTTAGCAACTCAAACTGGTAGGTTCTTCAGAGTTTGCATGGTCAGACACCAGAATGAGCCTGCCTGCTGCCACACAGCTGTGACAAAGAGCATTTTCTCAGCTTGTCCCTTGGAGCACACCCAGCCTCTGTCTGCCTTGATCTTAGGTTTGCCCTTTTCCATTGTATCACAAACCATTTCCATCATTTTCTTGGTATGTTCAGATCCAGTCCCATCCAAGTTATCCTCCCACATGCAACAGAGTCACCAGGTGCAGAGTCTTTGTCTGATACTCCTTCACCACAACACCTGCAAACTTCCACTCACAGGTCTGTTTCCACTGCCTACCACAATTAGCAGCCTTCTCTTCTGCCATGTGCTTTCCATTCCTGTGTCTCCTAGCACATCACATGTACACTCCTCCTGCAAAACCTCTCCATGCTACCAAAATGTTACACATAACAAGTCTTATTAATACCCTGAAGACCTATGCTAACTGTTGTCACAGATTCTTGAAGGAAAAGTGGAGTGTATATATAGAATAATTTTTAAAAATTTTAAGAACCACATTATTTGACCCGAGGGAGAGGGCAGGAGGAAGCAAAAGGGTGTGACAAGATTATTCATCAACCCAGACCTCCAACCACACGGCTCCATCCACCTAAATTATTCAAAACCAACCTGCAATATTTTCCCCTTCCTACCTTCATTAGCTCTATTCTCATAAGATTTGTCTTTCCCTCACTAAAAACAACAAGATATTGAGCAGCTTTCAGAATGTGATAAACTGTGTGTTTTAAACAGCTGAAGCAGATCAAGTGAGAGGAACAGTAGGAGTCTGATGGGCTGCCTGGGCTTTAAATCACATTTCTTTTGAACTGGCTACATGACTTCAGAACAAGGAAAGAGGAAGTAGAATTAGATAGTTTTCCATATATAGTTCCTAAGTTAGACTATTAACTCTGTTGTGCATATTATGCACATATTTCATGAAAGAAAATGGTGTTTATTTCCCAAACACATCTCAGGAAGTGGGTGATGAACTCCTGTCCATACAGTAAGTGCAGCAGACTGCCTAGATTATATATATAGATATATAGATAGATAGAGATATACATATTTTGAGCATAAGCTGATAACCTTTAACCATGATGGCTCCAAATGAACTAGACGACAATCTCTCTCTCTCAAGCAGGTAGAACAAGCTGCTGTTTCCAGGTAAAGTAGGTTTTTTCAGATTTTAGAAGCCCGACTATACATCTTTGACAGGTCCCTCCTCTCAGAGTTCTCTGTCTTCACCAGAGGAACTTTTCCGTCCTTGCAGAAGGAGCAAAGCAGCGCTCCAGAGCACGGCAGTGACCTTCCAGGCAGGGACCGCTCCTCTCCCTTCACCGGGAGCCACTCCCCACCCTCCCGGCGAGGGGAAGCGCTGCCGGCAGGGCAGAGCCGAGCTCCGGGATCCCGCAGTGCCCGGCACCGATCCCGCAGTGCCCGGCACCGCTCCGCCCCGCCGCGGCTGTCACGGACCGGGACGCGGGACACTCGCACCCCTGGTCGGCGAACAAGGCCGGGGCGGCCCCACACTCACCTGCGGTTCATCGGCCGCACTCGCACGGCCACCTTCACCGAGGCCATGGCTCATCCCCGCCGGACCGAGCCAGGCCACCCCCGGCCTGGGCCGGGTCGCTATGGTGACAGCCACCCTGCCCCGGAGGAGGAGGAGCAGGGGCAGGGGGAGGAGAAGGAGGAAGAAGAGCAGGGGCAGGAGGAGGAGAAGGAGGAGCAGGGGCAGGAGGAGGAGGAGCAAGAGCAGGAGGAGGAGCAGGAGGAGCAGGAGCAGGAGGAGGAGCAGGAGGAGGAGCAGGAGCAGGAGGAGGAGCAGGAGCAGGAGGAGGAGGAGGAGGAGGAGGAGGAGCAGGAGGAGGAAGAGGAGCAGGAAGAGGAGCAGGAAAAGGAAGAGGAGCAGGAAAAGGAAGAGGAGCAGGAAAAGGAAGAGGAGCAGGAAGAGGAGAGGAGCAGGAAGAGGAGAGGAGAGGAGCAGAAGGAGGAGAGGAGCAGGAGGAGGAGGAGCAGGAGCAGCAGCACCAGTACCAGCAGCACCAGTACCAGTACCAGTACCAGTACCAGCACCAGCACCACGAGCAGAGCAACAGCAGCAGCTGCCGCTGCTTTGAGAGGAGGGGTAGAAATAGGTACTGTGGGTGTCCGTATGGTAATTTCTCCATAGGGCCACCCACCGCCGTATATTTATTGGAGGAGTGTGTGCTTCTATACATGCATCCTGTGAAAAATGCACATTTTATGATTGGCTTTTCGCAAATATTACAGTGAATATTATATGTGTAATGTTATGCTGTATTAATTCTCTTAAATAGTGTGTTAAATACAATTTTAGGTTCCAACATAATGTTAAAATAGAGACTGTGTATGTGGCGGGGAGTTTTTTTTTAAAAATCAGATACTCTCTTCGAGGAACACCTAAATCTTCCAAAGGAGAGGAATTGATGGCTTCTTATCAGAAGAAGATAATTTCTTCAGGCCTTGCTCAGACTCGAAGACGCCATGGAGATTAAAAGAAACAGTTGACATACAACAGAGTTCCTTGTTTTAAATAGAATATATGCATAACCATGAAAGGTATACAACAAATACATTGTTTTAAAGGTAATTCCTTTGTTCACAAAACATGCTTTTCTTAACTTAGTGTCCAAAAGCATCCAGACATCCATAATTCTTTACTTTTTATTGTCTTATAATTATCCTAACTCTAAACTTTATTACTCTAATTATATTATTATTTTTATAACCATCAGCAGTGTGAGCTGCCCCCCCCCCGCCCCCCCATTTGGTTACAGCAGAGCCGGATTTTTTTGGACAATGTGTCATTTACAATCTAATCCATGTGGCTGGTCCGGAGATGGGCTGTCCCAAAGGATGATATTGGAACACCTGGGAGCTGATAATCCTGGTAGCGACCCAAGACTGGGATCGCTGGAGTCCTCCGGGCTGATACATCTGAGTGCTGCGGTTCTGTAACCATCAGGAAAAATCCACACCTGGACCTGGATTGTTCAACCCATGAATATGTGGGATAGAAAGAAAAGGTGGATGGCTGAAAGCCTCACCTTGGGCAGAAAATTTCCTATAAGAACTGCATGGTCCTGGAGGGGGGTGTGTGCCAGAGGTGTCCTTCCTGTCACACACCCAGCACCGAACCTGGGCTCGGCACTGTCCTTTTCCTTGTGGCTGGCTCGGAGAGAATTCGATCCTTAATACATTTTTTATTACTTCATTTTTAATTTGGCTGGACTAATTTTCATTGATAACATAGTCGTATATATACGCTTATATCACAGAATTGCAGATTCAATTAGCTTGGAAAAGACCTCTGAGATCATCAAGTCCAACCTCTGATTAAACACCACCTTGAAACTAGATAGGGCGCATCCAGTCTTCCCTTAAACACTTCCAGGGACGGTGACTCCACCACCTCCATGAGCAGCTCATTCCACTGTCTAATCACCCCTTCTGGGAAGAAACTTCAAGAAGTCCCACATGAACCTCCCCTGGTGTGGCTTAAGACTACAAAGGGGTGAACCTCTCACCTGGCTAAACCTTATTTCAGGAAACCACTTGGTTATATATGCATATATATACACATTCATATTTGCTGTGCTTTCCTCTTCAGTTTCAAAGCATTTTAAACATACTTCATGTGGAAATGAGCAAAAAAGGTATATAACAGGGAAGCAGATGTATTGGTCACAGATATGTATTCTGGAGGAGACAACTTACTCCTTTGACACACAACTGTTACCTTGAACTCTGTGAAAACACAGCCACTATGTTTTTATGTCAAAATATTCATGGGAGATGGCTTTGCACAGAAACTTTTCTCATTATGAAGAGCACTCTTTGAGTTTTGCAGAGTATGCTTTAGCATTTTAAATGTGTTTCTGCCTTTTTAGAAATGAGGTTGTTTTTTGTCCCCTCTCTGCTTCACTTTCACTTAAGCAGCCTGATAAGGGAAAGTATGCTACAGAGAAGTGGAAATGAAGAATAAGTGGCTGTATTTGACATTTAATTTCTACACAGCTGGAAAGAGAAATGAGATTGTTTATTGTTCAATTCATTAATTTTCCCGTCCAAGAACATCCAATCATCCAAAAACATAGCAGTATGTTGTTCCATTATTAAATATAATAGGGAGATGTTCTGATATTTTTTTTCTTATCAAGTTCTTATTATTTACAATCCATGGACAGTGGCAGTCTCTGAGCTCTCCCTTTTGCTCTTTTCTGATTTTCAATTAACACCAAGGCAATGTGTTGTGTCCAAAAGAAAACATGACAAGGCCTGATAAGCAAGCAAGCAAACTGCAGAAAGATCTAATAATGTTTAATGAATTACTGTATGTAATGTTACTGAGAGTCATTTCTTCCTTCTCCATCAGGAGAAGCAAAACAGATAATGCTCATGGCAACATCCTCAGCAAGAGTTAAAGGCTGTGAAGAGCACCTGTCAGGCATGTTAAACCCGGGAACTCAGCTATGTTTGCTGTGAGGTATCTAGATTTCAGGCAGGAAAATGTTCTTCAGTCTTCATCTTGTAAGACATCAGGCTGCAGAGCAAGGCCATGAGTGGCATGAACAGAAGCTTTCCTGGAGGCTAAAGAAAGTTTGGTTGACGAGAAAAGAATAATAATGAACCTTTCTTCTGTATTTCTAATGTTACATCTTTTCCTCCTTATGGCAGAAATTTCTTTGTCAGAGAGGTTGAGGTAGGAATTAGTGAGTTATATGCACTGTGGGTTTAGTGTACCTAATAACAAATGTTTGAGGCTAGACACTGGAAGTTCATGGGCAAAAAAAGTATCTCTGCATGTATTTTACACCCAGTTTATTCCCTGGTATTTTTTACCTCTTTTCATTTTTATTCCTTTTTTTTTTTTTCAGTGGAAATGAAGGCAAGAGACATAGGCAAGCTTAGAATAAAATAAGAGGAAACTTATTACAAATTCATGCAAAGCCGAACATAAAACACTGCAAAGCATTGAGAAATGTTGTACTGACTTCAGTGCAATTCGATCAACATCTACAGGGAAAAACAAACAAATAATTTTGAATAACTAACAATAAGTTACAGGTTTGTAACTTATTTGTTTGCTTTCAGGAGGATTGCAACTGAAGACACATAAATGGCAGCCCAAGTATCAGAAAAACAGAGTTTTCCAGGCTGACAGGAGCTGGTCATGGCAAGGAGACATGCAGCTGCTGCCAATGTACACGTTCTTATCCCCACTGTTGTTTCAGCTGAACTGTACTTTCCACTAAGCATTTAAAAAGTGCATATTGGGTCGTTCTAGAAGAGCTGTATGCGCAAAGATTGTTTTTCTGGAAGATTAAGGAACAGAAGGGGTAAAAGCAGGTCTGTACTTACATTATACTCAGCCCCCTGACCTGCAAGAAGTCTCCTGTATGCAAGTCCAGCAGAACTCCAGTGCAATAAGGTATTTCATGAGGCTTTTCCATGCCTTGGAAATTTTCAGCCAAATTACAAGTGATAAGTCAAAGTGAAACTTAGCTCTTGCTTTTAAAAAAAATAAAAATCTAGATTTCTCTGAGGTCTTTGCTATAATTCACTATATTCCTAATACACACATTTGAACAAATTATTCTGAAGGAGTGGTAAAAATCAAGGAAGCAGAATCATAAGGTTTTTCAAGGTTCCATTACCCTTACTAGAGATTAATCCCTTGAAAGTCAGCAGGACAGCATAAAGTACCCTGTATGGAACAAAGCATTAAAAATTCTATTATTTTATGAATGCATAAATATCAAACTTGTTTCTTTGCCACTAGAAGATTCTGCACACAAGAAAAAAAAAAAAAAAGCACTCAAATTCACATAAAATCCCGACCACTGCATCCCCACCCTTGGGACTTATCAAAGGTGTATCTTAATTCTGCTCACAGGCAAACTTATCTAGAAAAGCCTCATCTTAATTTCCTTGCCTCTTACAGTGAAAATACGAGCATCCCTTGGCTTAATAATGACAACACTTGATGGACCCTGATCCTTGCACATGCAAGTCATTTTAGTTGTACTCTTCTTACCTAGAAAACAAAAAGCACAAATATTTTATGCATGAGCACAATATATCATAAAACCACATTCTACAGGGTAGGGGAAGGCTTTCAGAGACCTAAGATGATGCTGTAGTTGGCTTGAGCTCTTCTAGTATTCTACATTTCTCTAAATCCATTAGCCAAGCAATACTCAGAAAAAAATGACAGGATGTGCTGGCATTTATGTTTGCAAATAATAGAGATTGCAGGTCTGCAAAGCATGGGATTAATGCCACTGCCCTGTATCCCTGTCATCAAACTGGCATCCCTATACTTCCATTATTGTTTCCTGGCAACAAAGCATGGATGCTCCTTTAGGAATGCTAACAATGTGTATTTATCCTGCAGACTCCGTCCTGAGGGGCCCTGCCAAAATGAACGAGTGGATCAGTGCTCCTACAACGTCAGACTTTAACACAAAATCTTTTTTTCCCTGCATGAGGAAAGTATAATTCATGTGATTATTTTATCTAAAAATCACTTCTGGTTCTTTTTCTGTATAGGTTTTCTTGGAGTCATACCATACTATTTCTCCCCAAAATGTCCCAATCCCATTTCTGTTCATATTGCATAGAACAAACCTGATTTATCAGTTTTGTTTTATCAGCTGGGCATGGTTTTTTTTTCCAGTCTGCAGGATCAGTGTGACAAATCTAATACTAGGCATATATTTTTTACAAATACCATAAAGGAAAGGATAGTCTAGAAGTGCATTTTTTTGCACTGGATAAAACACAAAAATGAAATATACTTATTTGCCATATATATATATAGCTGGATATAATGAACTACAAATGTAAGTATCTGAAATTTAATTCTGGTTAACTTAAAAATGGTAATTTATTTCTTTAAACAATGCAACAGTCTTCTGTTCCCATACACTAGAAGTGGGTGCAAAGAAATAAATGGTGTGCTTATTGTTTTCCTCAGTAAAGGAAAAAGTTTACTTGGTCAAGAGAACAAGCAACAGTGGTATTAGCCATGATACAATGATTTTCCTATGAAACAGCAATAATAAATAATTTTTTGTGCTAGTGTATTCTTCCTCTGGTTAGTGAAGGTCTCTTGACTAAATTACAGTCTGGCAAGCAGTATATTAAACACTCATGAGTATAAACCACCAATAATAAATGTCAGGTGAATGTGTGGAGGTTCTTTCAGATCAAGGAACAATACACTTTTTAGTGATTATGAAAGCAGCCTTATTAAATGAAGTGCAGTACAATTTCCCCCTTCTGTTTTTGTTTGCCTCCCTGGCCTGTTTTATTGTACTCCAAACAGGGTCAGCCAGGTTCATTTTCTGAGTGATTAAAATTACTTCAGGAGGTTTGAGTGAAGCTTTGCCAAGTGTGTTGCCAAGTTCTTATCAATACTAAATTTGTCCATCACATTGTCCATTCTCTCTGCTTTGTTAGTTTGCAGAGATCACAGATGAAGAGCCTGCAAACAATCATTGGTAAATCCCTGAGGACTCCTCAGCTTTGGGCAGCAGCAGTTAGTCCAACTGCTCAGCAAATCCTGATTTACAGGGAGCAATTCCTTTCCTTTCACACCTGAATATAGACCACGAAGATGTTCACCCATCAAAGAATATTTTCTGTCTTCAACGTAAGGCTTACTGACTTTGCAAGTGCTCACAGTGCCAGTTTGTACTTCCTAGGAAATCTCCTTATTTCTGTCACTTTATTCATTGTTTTAGTCCATGCTCCAATGATTTTGTATTGCCTTCTCCCTGACACAGCAGAACAGAGCAGTCAAAGGCCAGAGCAAAAATACTGCAGACAAATCCAGCCACGTCACAAAACACTTGCACTTGCGTTCCTTTCTAGCATGTGGGTTTTATTTAGATTAAAATATTTCTATATTGATAAACTAGAGTAACTTTGTTTATTCCATAGTCTTCCTACAGGAAATAACAGCTGTGAAAACTGTGAAGCATCACTATGTGTGGACACAATCAAGGCCATGAAGCTGTGAAGCTTCCACCATAAACAGCTCTTGGTTATTTATACCTCAGAGAGTTTTGCTGGATTTAGAGAAGGAAGATGAAGGAAAAAAACACCCTTGATTTTTATTACAGGTTTCATAATAAACAGCAGCAATAACAATGAAATGCTGGGTTTCCTTCACCTTAAGCAAAGGGCAGGAGAGAGGAAGTGGTGGCTGCACAGATATTTTAAAGAACCCTGTGCCCTTTGTTTTGTTTCTCCAGACTTGTTTGGCAACCTCTGATGAAGCAAGTTCCTGTCCAAGCTGAAAGTGTGTTCCCAGCCCATTTTATGGGTGATGAATCATAATTGGTTATTAAGGTGCTGCAGCTACTCTTTCTAAGAAATTTGAAGTAATTTTTACAATATTTCTAGCATTTAGGGACTTTTAAATAAACAACATAAATGACCATTTCAATGCATATGAGAGTGCTATACAGAAGTAATTCTAATGAACCTTAGGGAATTGAGGAGGAAGCCAACCTGAGGAGTGAATGTCACTTTTATGGAACTGGCAGGCAGGCTGTGAAATCCCGTCTGAGGAGTGGAAAGATGCATTTTTTCAGCCTTATTGCATTCAAATTCTGCAAGAGTAAATCAGCTGTCCTCAAAGTGACTCTGAGCACATGTAAGTGTGGCATGTTCTGCTGGATGAAATATAGAAGCCATGAATTCTTCCTTACTTTGTGTAAGGTTGACAGGGTTTTTTGTGTTTGTTTTTCAGAATGTCTTCTCTACGGGTAGTTAAAGGACTTAATTTTTAAAAGAATTTATAAAATGTCAAGATTTTTGATTCTGTGAGACCAGTTCCTTTATCTACATTGACTCAATAACAAATAAGCACTTTTGAACACTGATAGTAAATTATAGTTACATGGACTGTACTGCTGATGGAGGTAAAAAACGGTAAAGGCCAGCCTTTCTGAAAAAGAAATTTTAATGTATTGTTCAGGTTTGGATTTCAAAGCTGTACTTTATCTTAACAACTAACTCTAAGGCAATTAACAAAGAAAAATAAATAGAACCCTAAAACTTGATCTGAACTGCTGCCTTTCACATTCTGAATTTGCCATGTGTATGCATTTCATAAGGCATCCATTGGCACACTTCCCACAGGATGCTCTGCTGTAAACAACTGCAGTACACACTGTTTTCTTCCACCAGTGAATGACACCTCAGTCAATAGCTTATTTGCCTTTGGCTATTATTTTTGAATCCCTTTAATCCATGTTTTTCTTTATATACTTCCTACATACTCTGGGATCTGGAATAATGGTTGGTTTTTTTTTCCTGAAATTATACTGAACCAAGAACTCTGCCTAATATTCCTGCTTCTTTACAAAGAGATGGCCTGTCCCAATACAATTTTTAGCTTAAGCAAAAACTAATTCATTGATTATGAAGTTTTTCCCCTGCAAGAACTCCTTTTTTTATATGTATACCATTGCAACTTCAAATTGTTTCTGAAAAAAGCCTGCCTGATAATTCCTAGAAATGAAGGCATGCAGCCTGCAAAATTATTCCAAAAATTCAAGGACTGCAATCTCAATCTCTGCACTCTTTATTTGTTCTGAGGCAGCACTACCAGAGGGATTTTCAAAGTACCTTCAAGAAATTACATTCAAAAAAACACACTGCCTTTTCAATATTGGAACTAAAACCAGATATTGCCTACTGAATGTTTACAGAGCTTTTGAAGTTTCTGCATTCTCCCATCGAGCTCTGGGATCCCCACCCAGCACAGGAAGGACATGGACTTGTGGGGAGAGTCCAGAGAAGAGACAAAAGGTGGTTTGCAGGATGGAGGTTGTCTGCTACGAGGAGAGGCTGAGGGAATTGGGATTGTGTGAAAAATGCATGTTAAATTATTGGCTATTTGCAAATATTATATTGAATACTATACGTGTTATGTTGGGAAGTTATTTTGTAGTACTGTATTAATCCTTTTTAAGTAGTGTGGTCAGTAGAGTTTTAGGTTATAACATAATGTAATAGTAGAAACTATGTGATGTAAGATATTTTTTGACTAGCTCAAGAAAGGGATGAGATTATCAAGAAATTCTTTGCACAGCGGTAACAGCAACAAGACCCCTAAGAGTTACTGCCTCCTTATTGGAAAAGACAAACATCCTTCTACCTCCTCTCAGTCTTTAAGGAGCCACCAGGATTAAGGGGAAGAAGTTGACAATAACCAGAGAACACCCTTTGTTTGAAAAGAATTTATGCAGCATGTATGAATATCCAACAGGCTGTTGCTTTTAAGGGTTAATCCTTTGTTAGCGAGCCATGCTTTCAAGAGAAAAGAATCCAGACATCTGTAATTCTTTGCTTTTTATTGTCCTAACTCTGATTGTCCAAATTCTTACTGCTCTAATTTTATTATTATTTTTATAACTATTTTATTACTTTTAAAATTTTAAAACAAGTGATTGGTGTTTTTCACAGATTGCTTAGCCTGGAGAGGAGGCTCTGCTGTGACCTAACTGTGGCCTTTCAGAAAGGGCCTAAATTATAAGGAGAGGTTTAATAAATAAAGCCTTATTTCTAAGGAGAAATCTGGAGAGCAATGGTTTACAGGGTTATGGAGTGACAGGACAAGGGGGGATGGATTCAAGCTGAAAGAGGACAGGATATTGGGAAGAAATACCTCACTGTGAGGGTGGTGAGGTAGTCCAGAGAAGCTGTGCCATGGGTATTCATGGCTGGGTTGTGTGAAAAACGCCAATCACTTGGTTTTTAAAAAAGTTTAAAAATAATGAAATGGTTATAAAAATAGTAATACAATTAGAGTAATAAAATTTAGAGTTAGGACAATTGCAAGACAATAAAAATCAAAGAATTACAGACATCTGGATGCTCTCGGGCACTTAAGCCATGACAAGCATGTCTCGTGAACAAAGGAATCACCCTTAAAAATCATACTCATACTTGTAAAAATCATACTCATACAAGTAAAAATCATAATGTCATATTCATGCAGACTTCATGGTTATGCACACATTCTATTTAAAATAGGAAACTCTGTCTGGAATATGTCAACTCCTTCTTCTTATTCCCACAGTGTCTTCAAGTCTGAGCAAGGCCTGAAGAAATTAGAAAAGAGAACCATAAATTCCTCTTCTCTGGAAGATTTGGGTGTTCTGTGATTGTTATCTCGAAGTGAGTATCACATTCTCGTAAAAAAAAAAACCCCACATACATAGTTTCTATTTTAACTACAAAACTACATTTACCATACTATTAAAATGTTAATACAGCACTTCTAATCAATCTAACATATATATAGTATAGTATACTATAATATAGCATTCAAAATAATATTTTATATCTATTCTAAATATATTATTATATTATAATATATACTATTAATATAGAATTAGTATATATTAATGGATTATATATTATATTATTATATATTATTATATATTAATATAATAAATTATTATATATTATCATATAAAGTATTATACTATTATATATAATAATATATAACATTTTATATAGATATTATTCATATATAATACACTATTCAAATTACTATTTATGAAAAGCCAGTCATAAAATATGCATTTTTCACAGTCTAGTGGAAGCTGTCCATGTCCACGGCAGGTTGGTTTTACGAGATAACCTTTAAGGTCCTTCCAACCCAAACCATAAAACCAAATTGAACCTAACAAAACCGAAACCAAGAAAAAAAAAAAAAAAAAAAAAAAAAAAAAAAAACAAAAAAAAACAAAAAAAAACAAAAAAAAAAACCCCCTAAAAAAACCCCAAAAAACCAAACCACACTTATCTTCGCTTATTTCTCTATTAGGACAGGATAGAGCCAAATCCTGAGGCAATAACTGCCCATTTCGGTGGAAAACAACTTTTTATCGCTTTTTATCCCGTCTGGCTTTTATCCCCTTTTCTCCCTCACGCCGTCGCTCCCCATCGGCGCTATCGGCGATCGGCGTTCGGCCATCGGCGCTCCGCGAGCGGCTCTGCGGCCTGCGCTGCGTGCGGGCGGGCGGGACGCGCCGGGCGCCATCGAGCGGGGAGCGGAGCGGTGAGGGGCGCTGAGGGCCGGGATCCGGGATCCGGGATCCAGGGGGGGCAAGGAGGGGCTGGCTCGGGGTTCCCTCTCTGGAGTTCCTGTCCTGCCGTCGCAGCCGTCTCAGCACGGAAAGAGCCGGAGCGGGGCGGGCGGACATATAGGCGGACTCGCCAGCCCCCCACACTCGCGGTGCCGCTCCCCGGGGATGTGAGGTGCAGCTCCCCGGGGTTCTGAGGTGCCGCTCCCCGGGGATGTGAAGTGTCGCTGCCCGGAGTTCGCTGACGCCTCTCCCGTGTGCTCTGCCCTCAGGTGCCGCCGAGAATGGACATCAGGCCGAACCACACCATCTACATCAACAACATCAATGACAAGATCAAGAAGGAAGGTATGAGCAGCTGCCGGTCGCCTCTGGTTGTTCAACACGGCGCTTGTCTTACCAAGAGGATTTTAGGAGCTCCCCGATGTCTCTGAAGTGCTGAGCAGGAGTTGGTCATCAGCCGAGCTCTAGGCAAACGCTTTCTTGTAATGAAACAGTAGCAAAGCAAATAAATGCTCTTCCCACTAGATCAGGTTGCTGAGGTCTCCCTACAGCCCAGTCTTGAATGCTTTTAGGGATGGGGAGTGCTCTCTGGGAAACCTGTTCCAACACCTCACCCCCTGACAGTAAAGGCTATTTTCCCAATATCACATCTAAGCCTCCTCTCAGTTTGAAGCCATTCCCTCTTGTCCTGTTGCTCCAAACCCTTGTAAATAGTCCTTTTCCATCTTGTAGGCTCCTTTCAGGTACTGAAAGGCCAAAGTTAGATCACTCCTAAGACTTCTCTTTTCCAGGCTGAACAACCCCAAATCTCTCAGCCTTTCCTCACAGGAGAGGTGCAATAGTTCATATGTAAGGTTTTTGTGTTAGAATGATTACACAGTACAGATTATTTATTTACTTTGATTTGGATAGTACTAAGGTTTAATTTGGCATGTGTTCAGGTTATTGTAGATAATTGAAGTAAATCAGTGCAGCTGTAAGCTGCAGTAGTCTCATACAAATTTGGATCCAGAATATGAAAAAATACTTCATGTGAGTGAGAAAATTTATTAAATAGTTACAACCAAAATTTCCAACTTTAATTACCCTTTAGGTAGTTACTGTTTTGCCGCATTCTTGTTTTACATCATATCTCTACTGCTGCTTGTTTAAATTTGGATTTCCTAATCAGTCTGAGATGGCTGTCATGCATCATACTTGATTGTGTGAGAGAGTGTGTGTGCATATACCTGTATAAAATATGTTTTTACATCCCTTTATGTAATTGTTCCTCCCTTGGAATGGCAGAATGGATGGCATTACAACTTCTTCAGTACATAAATCCTTGAGGTATGAAACCAAATGCTGCACACCAGTTTACAAAACCTGGGCAAATAAATTTGTAATGATGCAACAGTTTTGACAAACTCGTGCACTCACTGTGTGAGCTAAAGCTTGTAAAAAACATTGTTCCCAAAGGACAGCAGTCTTGGTAGAAGTGGGAATTTGCCTGTGACCTGATGTAATCTGTTTTCTCCCTGGTGCCCAGAGCTGAAGAGGTCCCTGTACGCGTTGTTCTCACAGTTTGGTCATGTGGTCGACATTGTGGCTTTAAAGACCATGAAGATGAGAGGACAGGCATTTGTTATATTTAAAGAACTTGGATCATCCACCAATGCCTTGAGACAGCTACAAGGCTTTCCATTTTATGGGAAACCAATGGTAAGTTGTTTTTGTAAGATACTTGTCTTTTCTGTTTAAGAAGTTTGGGTTTTGCTGAATTTACATTTCTGGAGAGATCTGAGAAATCACTGTCAAATTTTAACTCTCTTTAAAATGGGACTGAAAACTCACAGTTTTAATAGAAGCTAGTTCTGATTTTCTTAGATGTCCTCTGTGGAGCTCAAATGAATCTCTTTGTAGGTGCCACCTTGACAGATGTTAAAAAGATGTTGTAGATAAATGGAGTTCCAATTTCAATGAACTAAAGTCAGTAATTTCCATATTAGGGTTTTTTTTTAGACTTCTGTACTTGTGCTCAGAAAAAAATGAGAATTGTTTGCTTCATATGTATACCTACATTTTATAACAATGTTTTTAATATAAAAGGTTTCTGCAAAAAAAAAGGGTGTAAATACACAGTTAATGTACATGGTGCAAAATGTTCAGTATTATTGACTGCAGAATATACTCTGTTTTTAATTTTTTTTATTTTTTCTTTTGAAAAGCGTATTCAGTATGCAAAAACAGACTCTGATATCATCTCTAAAATGCGTGGGACTTTTGCTGATAAGGAAAAGAGAAAGGAAAAGAAGAAAGCCAAAACTCTGGAACAGTCAGCAAATGCAGCAAATAAAAAGGTTATCCAGGTAAGCTGCTTCTCTGTTCAGAACAAAAACTGACCAAAAAACCACAAATAAACAATCTCCTCCCCCCCCCCCCAAAAAAAAAAAAACACAAAACAAATCCACAAAAAAACACACACAAAAGCTAATCTAAATAATTTTTTAGGATTTGATGTTGTCTTTTGTTACTTTTCAATTCCCTGAATTGGGGTCTGTTGACTATCTGGAGCACTTGAGCATTTATTTAAAAGAAGTAGAAGGAGAGGGGGCTGGTTATATAGTCCTTGCTGTTCATTCTTTTTTCTCGTTTGCTATTACCACATAAAAGTAAAGATGTAGGGCAAAGGTACAACAAACCAAAGTAGAAACTAGCCTCTTAAGAAAAGGAAAAAAAAGGAGTGTGCTTATCTTTAGTACTGGCTTCAAGTGCTCAACCACCTTTTCTCTTCAGTGCTTTAATTCCATGTTGCCTAATAAGGACAGAAGAATGGTAAATGAGAACAAGACAATTCATTTACCTCAGATATTAGATGTTCCATGTTAGATTTACAGGAGTTGGGTTGGAATTTATCTCCTCTAAGGGTTGGCCTGCATAAAGTAACCATATTTAGTAGGTTCCTTGGATTGCAGCTCACTAAAACCTTTAACATATGTCTTGAATTGTAGAGAAACATGGTGATATGTACCTAATTTATTTCTAATGGAATACCTTTGTAAAACTATTTTGTACTTACTTGCTAGGGAGCAACACAGAATTCAGCCAGTGCCCCAGGGACTACACCACAGAATCAGGTAATGTTTTTTATTACTAAAAGCACTAATGTTTTTAATTATTCTCTATGAATAATAATTTGTTACACATGGAAACTTGAGGATATATTTTACAGCTTTGTTTTTGTCCTATGAAACATTGTCTAACAGCTACATGACAGTAAACAAACAGAACAAATCCCTTTTTTACTGTATCTGGTTGACAGGAAATGAGAATCTGCAGTTTCTCATTACTATACAGAAAACAGCGCTATTACCAAATCATACTGGAGTCTTAAATTTGGACTGTGCTTAGTATCAGTTGAAGGATTCTTAATTTTTTTTTTTTTCATTGCTAATAAGTTCCCTTTAACTTACTTTGTTCTAGCAGCAGATAAAGAAGACAACAGAGGATGCCAAAATAGCTGCCTAAAAGCTTTATTTCAGGAGTCTGGGGGTTCTCTGCTCACTTTTTCTTTTTTCTCACAAGTGTCTTATTTTCCAAAGTATTGTGTGGAGATGTAGGAACAACTCCTTACGCTTCATTCATCTTGTCTGCTCAGTGACTTTCTAAAAGTGAAAGTGGTAAAGAGCCAGGATTTGCAGGAGAGCAAGTACCATGGAAGAATATCTTTGCCTGCCCTGCCCCACATCTTTCTGGAGTACTGCCATTGCATACATAATCAACAGGGGAAAAGGTCTTGCTTCCTGGATTTTCAGGCACAATATATGTATATCAGTTTGCATCAAAGCACAACACTGAGTATTTGGGTATTTCTTTGAACTTCAGAAGTTTATTTTCTAATGGCGCTACTTGGAATATTTCCATCAGTAAAAGGAGATTGTTCTGCTGAGACTTTTTATTTGGCACTGCTTTGACAATGTTTAAAGTTGGGGTGTCCAGTTAATTTTTATATTTATAGTGTACTTGTTGACTTGAAGATTCCAGTATCAGCAAATAACTACTCAGCCTTGTCTGTGGTGGATGGCAACAAATTCGTATTAGCAGGCAAATATGTTACAAGACTAAAGCTCTAAATCTAAACTGGTTTCTAATTAAGATATTTTTATTGAGCTCTGTAATAAAACCATGTGGATTTTGTAGGTTTTGATTGATACTGAGTATTTTAGTTGTACTGCAGGTAAACAGGGCTTGGCTTCCCTCTGTGAGTCCTTCATGCATTCTACCACTGCCTTACAGGTGTCTTGAATAGCAGTGCTATTCAAGACTGGGTGCAGAGAGTACTGCAGTGTCAGCTCTTGACTAGTTGAGTTTAAATGTGACGTCTAAGACAGTGTGGTATTGTGATTTTTGTAGAAGAACCTCTCCAAATTAATGTATCCATGTAAAAGAATGAAGGGGTTCTGTCTGCATCTCGATGAAAGTGTGATGAAACCCAGATAAAATGTTATGAGCAAAACTAAAGAAATGTGAGTCTTGGTTCAAATACTTATGCAGACAGATGCAAAGGAACTGTATGCAACTATGTATAGTCTTTTGAGCTTTGATTTCTGTTGTTGCAGGTGCCTGATAACCCACCAAACTATATCCTTTTCCTTAATAATTTGCCTGAGGAAACAAATGAGATGATGCTGTCCATGTTATTTAATCAGTAAGTTTTGAATAGAAATGATTTCTCCTTTTAATTCTTCTGTAACCTGTACGTGTTTTCTCAGTTGGCATGCTCACTTTTTAGAAATAAGGGTTTGTTCTGAAGGTATTTCAATTGTTCGTCTTACTGTCGAGGTTACAGATGTCAGTTCTGATGAATTGGTTCAGAAAGCAAATCTGATCTTTTTCATAGCTGGCTTTGATTGTGAAATTTATCTGCTATCAGTTTGCACTGGATTTAAGCTGGTGACTGTAATACTAAAGTCCATAGGACAGCAGGAGCAGTTCTAAGACTACTTAGATTGCTTCTGTATGTGTACAGCTCTGATTAAACTGCTTCCACATAATATTCCTTAATTGAAGCATAGTTCTAAGGATAGAACATGTAAAACCCTTCAATTTAAATCTTTCATTAGCAATAACAATTGTGCTAGTAGATGCTTCTGATAAGGAGCTACTGAAGAGAGATGTATATTGAGCTAAGAAGTATTTTTTGACTCTCACCTTATTTTAAAGGTTTCCTGGATTCAAAGAAGTACGCTTAGTGCCGGGGCGCCATGACATCGCATTCGTGGAGTTTGAAAACGAGAACCAAGCAGGGGCTGCTCGAGACGCTCTCCAGGGATTCAAGATCACTCCATCTCATGCCATGAAAATCACCTATGCAAAGAAATAACTATATGCTCCTGTAAAGGAGTTCTGTGGAGAGTTTTGTTTGTTTTTTTTAAAAAAACATTGCTACTCTGGTCAGTCAGCATGCTTGCTATTCTCTGCAGAAAAAAAAGACTCAAATAGAATTGCCACAATGACCAGGGGACATGTAAAATTTCCACACATCACCCAGATAACGATTTTTTCTGTTGAAATACTAATTTTTATAAAATAAAATATAATTATGCTGTTTTCGAGCCATGTTTTTTCCTCAAGTCTGTCTCATTATTGATTAACCTTGCAGGACTTTATTCAACTTTTAAAGTGGAAGTGAGTGCTAAAAATAGCTTTCTTTCCAGAGCAAAAGTATGATCAGGGATGCTGAATGCCAGCATATTCAGACTAAATAGAGCATTCACCCTCATTATCAAGGGAAAGTCCTGAGAGGAAACATAAAAGTTTCAGGTTTTTAGCCAGGCTTTTCCAAAATACATGTCCTAATGCTTCTGGGTTTCTCAGGTTTGATTTACTTTATTTTTTCTTACTTGTTAAAAACTTAATAGGTTTTGTGTGACGTGAAATACATTGGATGCAGTGAAGTAATCAGATACAGTATTGTATCTGATTACTCCCTAATGATTTGTTACATTGCATCTGTCTGCTATTGTCCCTGTAGGTCCTTTTTGTAGACAGGAACAGGGAAATTTCTGCCACTGAGGGTTTTTGGTCCATGGAAGATTGTGCTTGTCAGTGAGCATTTGTGAAAATTAAGGACTGGAGGATTAAGAAGGATGTAATTTCATTTGCTTCTTACCAGGGTCTGACTTAATTTTCATTCTCAGACTTTGCTTGAAGTATGATTAAGACTATGGACAGCTCTAGGAGGGCTTAGAGTGTTTAAATAATACAGTTGCTGATTAAAGTGTTAATACAGAATGGCTTTGGCAGGGGATTCAGCTTTATGAGTTGGCCCTGAGGTTTTCCCCCTGCCTACAGCTCCTCTGGTGGGATGCAATGTTGCCACAGCCCATTCCTGTTAGCCTGGTGTGTTTGTCCAGTTTTTTGCCTCTTCCATAAAAGATGAGGATTGCTGGACCTGGTACACACTCAGCAAGTGCTGCAGCAAAGAAAAGTGACAAAAAGTGTTTATTTGATGACTTTATTTTTGTGTCTCGGATCAATGTGTCCTCTCACAACTGGAATTTTTATGGAGAAGCTGACCAGCAAGAGGCTGTGTCCTGATGATGACTGTGTCTGTAAGTAAATTTGCTTTAACTTTGAGGACAAAATAGTTTTAAAAATAATGCTGGGGGTGAAGGCAAAACTACTTTGCTTGTTTAGCTCTGTCATATATTTTTCTTGTCAACTGGCTATGTAGAATGTCACATGCAGTTTTACCAAAAAATGGGATTTTTAAAGGGACATTTTTCACTTAAGTGAAAAGTGTAGGGAGGGATTCTAACTTTCAGTGCTGAAATTGCTTCTAAAGCTGTTATTTTGGTTACTGGAAAATAGAAAAATGCACAGAACAAATTCTTGAAGACTTTAACTGTTTCAAGATAACCTACTTTTATATGTAGGAATAGTTTTACTACAAGGTCACGTGTATTTATATTTCTGTTAAAGTATGTATGTATTTGAATGCATCTACCTCATTTTTTTGTTGCTCTTTTTTTCCCCAGACACCAATTCCCTTGCCAGAGCAGAAGAGGATTATAATGCTTCAGACTGCAGTTTCATTAATATTAAGAAGGGCCAGTGAATTTATGTTCATTCAAAACTAATGAATGAAGAAGACTCTGGGGAATTCTGGGCTGCAAGTGTAAGAGTTGATTCTTGTGAATATGAACAAACTAGAAGTAGATTAACACACACACATTGCTGTCAAGAAATGGTTGCAAGTGCTGAGCTGTTGTAGGGCTTAAAGCAGCAACTTAATTTTAAAAGTGAATGTTTAAACTGGTTGAGAAGACTTGAAGGGCTTTAATATTTTTCTTTTTTTAATCAATAGCTATATGGTAATTATGAACTGAACCTTTACAGAATGGCTCAACAATTTATTTCTGTGGCTGTTTATGAAAACAGTGGAGGATAAATCTTTTATCACAGGGGCCTTTAAAGTCTTAAATTTAAGGGAAGCAAATATAAAAACTAGCTGTGTTTACCAAAAAAAATCTCCAGATAAACTATAAGCAGTATTCATTTACTCAAAAAAATGTATGCCTAGATCAGAACTTCTGTCAATGGTTTGTTTCATGTGCCAGCTGATCAGAGCCTAGGAGATGTAAACCATATTAAGAACACTACTGATAACTCCTTTTGGCTAAGTGATAAACCAGCTCAAAGCAGATGAGGATTGTTTTAAGGTATCTCATTATACACCTCCTTGCTTGAAAGTTTATGGAGAACAGTATGAAGACTATATGGGGACAGTTGGTTATTTCCCTAGCAGTTCAGTGTCAGAACAGCATGTCTATCAAGAGGCAAGTCAGACTGTCCCTACAAGGGTAAGGAATTTACAAATAATTATGGCTATATAATTATATATGGATATTTTCAGTTCATTCAGAGAGAAAGGAGAGGTTTCTGCCAGGCTAGGGCCTGGGAAAGAGTTTCAAAGGAATGTAAATAATTCTCTATCTCTCTTGTTCACATTGTTTATAGATATGTTCTGCCACCGTGTGCCATTCAGCACGCACCAATGGTGTGAGATGTTTTTACTTTAAGGCCAATGAAATTGGTCTGCACAATGTTCTCTATAAAAAGAGCGATGTATTTGAAATAAAGTTCTTGATTTCAGTTCTTTCAGCCTTCTGACTTGGAGTTTCTCTGTTCCCGTCCTGCCTCAACAGCGACAATTATACTTGGTTATGTAATACTAATTTGCTGTAAAATTAAATCATTATTTTGGCAGTTGATTGTAGCATATCACAGGTGCTTAGGAATCCAATCTTTGGGCCTTTAAAGAAGCAAATAACCTCAATAGAATTCCTAGCATAACCTCTGATATAGCAGACATTGTAAATGTTGCAATGACCTTTAAGGTCATGTCAGTTTTGCCCAAAGCTTTCTTTTTTAGATATTAGAGCCTGGATATTGTGCTGTAAACTTTGGTGTACTAGTGCACCTTCCTTTAGTTGTGTCTGTAGATAGACACTGTCATACAGAACTTGTGATTACTGTAAGACCATGCTTGCTTTCTCATTACAAAGCTACTGGTGTGTCAAAAAACTGAGTTACAAGGGTTTTGGAAACACATGATTCTGTGAATAAGTAGGCTGCATTTCTGAAAGAATGGTTGTCCCTGCACAATAGTGCATTTCACTCCAAAAAATAATATTTTTCCTAAATATCTGAAATACTTCACAGATGAGTGGAAGAGGAAGGTCCTTTCTCAGAGGCCAGCATGGTTTGGCTTACAACTAACAACTTTCTGTGCTTGAAACCAAATTGAATGTTAGATTTAAAGTACTTGCCTTCATCCATCCTCAATATTTTTAGTTATATGCTGTTTTGCAGCATATAAAAAGATGCAATTAGCTTTTCCATCATGAGATTATATCTGGAGTCTTCCATCCTAGGTCCAGATAATTAGATGGGTTTAATTAACACAGAAGAAATAAGTGAAAGGAAGACTTCTGTGTCATGTTAATCCTTTTGTGTCCTTTCTCAGCCATAGATAGCACTTGGCAGAGGGGTTAAAGCAATGTGAAAAATACAGCACCAGCTCCAGTTGCAGGCCCATGGACATGAATGAACACCAGCCCTTTCCCATGGGAAACAACACTCACCCCCCAGTTTCCTGATGTCAGTTTTTAAGAGGCATTTGGCACAGTAAATATTTGTGGAAGCAAATTTGCTGCTCTAGAAATTCTTCAAAACAGTAATTAAACCACAACAGAACACAATTTTTGGATGTGACAGGATTCTCATTTTAATTCACTGTGCAGAAAACTTCAGGAGCACTGCTTGTGAGCCGGGTGTCTAACCTAAGTGACCTTGCCACCAAGAATTTAGAAAAGTGGGGAGAAATGGAATCACTACCACAAGGATCTGCACTGTGATTCTCCCACAGGCCTGAGGACATGACCCGATTCCACTGGGCCGTGGCTTTTTACCCTACATTTTATTTGTTACTTTTTTTCCTTGTTGTGCCTTAATTGACTAGTAAGTAATAGTGTGAGTGCTGCCATTGATCTTTGTTGAGCTGTTGCTCAATATTCAATCTGGCTTTTACTGAACCTTGCCAAAGAATTTTTAAGCAATCTCGGACACTTGTTTGTAACAAGCCTTGGGAGCATGAGGTGCAGGGTTGACACTGGAAAGCAGGAGAGTCATTCCAAAGTGACGAGTGTAACTGTTCATTTTATTACTCTTCTATTTATTTCACTCTAATAAGACAAGCCAAGCTTTTATTGGAGGTAGAATGTGTGTGGGATGTACTACAGTATTATCCTATAACTGTGGTCTGAATGGCACCCAGGCTGGAGTGTAAAAAGATTTGAGGAACCCTTGTCACTTGTTATTGGCCTCACAGTCCAATCATCCTTCTGCAAACAGGTTGCAAACAACACAGTTGGACTGCTGTCCTGGGTAAATATACATACAGATGATTTTTCCAAAGCAGTGCATCTTTTCTCATGTCCTCTTCATACCTATGAAATTGTGATTAAAAACACCCGTGAGCCAGATCTGTGTGAGGTTGCAAAGGAGCAAAGCTTTGGGATTTGGGCACACTCCTCTTGATTTCTTTGCTCAGGCCTTTTGTGAGCACAGAATACATCTACATGGAAAACTTTTGACTATACAGGATCTTGTGGGTCCATTGTCCCCCAGACATGTCAATGGGTGGCTGAGTTGTAATGTCAAATGACAAAGAGCAGCACAAATGACACAAAGAAAACGTGTCAAAAGAGGAAGAGGAGAGGCCCAGTGATGAAAGGATGTGGTGAGACACTGGCACATCGAGTGAGCTGCACTCCCATAACCTCTAGGCTAGATAGGTCTGGGTCTCACATTCTCCGCTTGGCTTATTTAAATTTTATTTATTTATTTACCTTTTTTTAAATCATAAGAATAAAATATATACACTTAAAAATATCAAAATTTCAAGATACAATCAAAATATATTTAATCAAAACTACATCTAAATATCAGAACATATGTATATCTATATCTATGAAGACTAATGCATAAATCCTATTCTTCAACTACTCTTCAGGCAGGCGGCAGCTTCTTCCTGAGCTTGGAGGGATGAGAGCTCTTCTGGATGGGAAGCAAGGACTTTGCAGGTAACAGACAATCAGACGTGTCCAGAGAAAGCCTCTTGGTAAGAGGATAGCCAGTCAGGTCTGCAAAGTGAAGACACAAAGTTTTAACAGATGTCACAATGCAAACCTAAAGCAGCTTGAGCTCTAGATTTCATGGGACACATTTCCTGCCAACTTCTAAACAGCTGCACAGGGAAACGTTCCTGCTGGCAGACCCTTGAGGCAGGCCAGGGGAAACCCTGACCCACTTGCACAGGGCTGCCACAGGAACAGCCTGGCCTCTGGGCTGCCCTGGGACAGCAGGAGCCCAGAGCCCTGTGCTTCCCAGGAATGGCTCAGCTGCACATGCACCCTCCTGCTCCTCTCCCTGCCCCACGGCTGAGCAGCCCTACAGCTCCAGGGGCTCTGGGAGCACAGCTCATTGCAGGGGCACATGGGGGCACAGCTGTTCCCTGGCAATGTGCACAGGCTCTCTGGGCTGCCACAGGACCCTTCCTCCCTCCAGAGAGCGGCCCAGCTCCCCCCTCACCTCTGTGTGAGGCTGATCCATGCTCAGCCTTCACCTTGTCTTCAGTCTGGAGTTTCTTCAGGCCCCCCATGTCATGACTAGGAAGGGCGATGGAGAGAGCGGGGGCCGATGCACACCCTTCCTTAGTGTTTTGTCATTTTGGCACAGCTAAGAAGTCAAATCCGGAGGTGTCCAACTCAGCACTTGGTCATCTTCCTGGAGAACATCCTGCCTTCACCAGTACAAAATGTTGGAGAGGTTCTCCCGCATGTGTGGAGGCTTGCTGGCTGCACATTTCTTCAGCTTGTTGCCCATCGCCTCGTAGAGGGCCAGGGCAAGCTTGGTGGCCACAGTGCGGATGTTGGCACTGCGGACAGGCAGCGCTTTGTTGTCCAGGAAGGACCAGAGCACGGGCAGGGCATAGCGCTGGACGACTTCAGGGCTCCTGGCATAAACCCACTCCACAAGCTCTGCCGGGAGAGAGACACAGCTTCTTACCCACCAAGCTCCATGCAAACAAGGATCTACCTCTGCTTTTGCTTCTTGGAAGCCTCTCTGGCTAAGATCAGTGAAATAGCACATGGAGCCCCATGATCCAGAAACGGGCAAAGCAGCTGGTGGTCCTTGAAACAGAACCACCAACCCCTCAGGACTAATTTCTCCAACCAGAGCCTTGTACCTGTGGCAGACTTTGTACCTTTACTAAATTATTTCACAATCTGTTTCTGCATGAACAATGACTGAAATGTCAAATTGCATTTTATTCCCATTAAGGAGTTGTCTAAACCCACACTGAAGATTTGGAAATGCACCCTAGAGAGGCAATTGAAAGATTTCTAGTAAAAGGGATGACTCCATGTTTGTGACTTTGATTTCAAGTGCCAAAAGTCTAATCTGACTCTTCCCTTTGCTCAGTGGCACACAGCAAAGGGCAGTATTAGAACACACTTCAAAGCTCCAGCCCACCAGAGATGGCTGCTGCTCGACAGCTGGATTAGAAACATCAGTGACTAGCTGGTGTCTTTGGCAGAATGTTTTTGTAGCTCCCAACACAGAGCTGTTTCAAACTTCAGCGTGTCTTAATTACCCAGACCCCATTGCCGTGGCATTTGGGCATCTCCACATTTTAATGGCATTTCCTCTCCCAGTGTTAATGGCATTTTTTCTTATAATGTCCACTGAAATACGGGCATAGAGAGAGAAAAATGCTACACAGCAGATTGAAATTTAACCAAAACACAAGTATTTTTCTCACATTGTTTCTGAAATCTCTCTGCTCATTTTCTGAACTGAACTATATCAAACACAGACAAAAATTTACTACCAGCAGTATATTTGGAGGCCATACCTGCGATACACTCTGCGACATCCAGCAGAGCTTGGCCGCTCAGTTGGCTCCATTGGTGGCTGAACTCTTTCATCAGTGATACTTTATCTACAAGTGAAACACATGTTTTTGCTCACTCTTCTGAGGTCATAGGAGAAAGGACAGTGAGGAGGGAAAGGGCAGGAGCAACTCCATTTTATACAAGAAAGTAAATTTCTGCTGATTTTTGAACCCTTTTCATCTTTCCTTCCAGCCTACTTGGCAGGGTTTAAAATCCCAAAAGAAAAGCTCTCCTTTCACATTTGTAAATCCAAGCTTGTCTTCTGTACCAGGAGCTATGTTAAAACATTTCACATCAGGGATCTCAAGAGGTCAGTCACATGTAAGCAGTGAAAAGGGTTTGTATCCCACAGCAAAAAGGAAGAACCCCATCCTTGGGACACAGAAAGGCGCTGACTCAGGCAGTTCCTGAGTCACAGAGCAGCTGAGGTGGAGAAAGTGGAAATGCCCCTTGGAGACCTCTTCAAACACTCAATTTTTCAGCCATTTTCAGAGCTGACATAAATCTGCGTGGCAAAGGAATTTCGAGCAGCCAGTGCCCATGTAGGTATTTGCTAGAGCAATCTTGCCCCACGCAAAACAATATGTGGAACAAGGCACCATTGACAGCTGGATTTAGACTTGTTTGTTATAAAGAAATGAACTTGGTGAATTGTAAGTTCCCCTTTGAAAAAAGAAGACAAAGAAGAAAAAGGGAAAATAGGCAGCTAATGCCTATAATGTAGAGCCTTCCAGGTGGCTGCTGTGCAGAAGCTCTGATGGGCCAGTGTCCCTTCATGCCAACAGCCAAGCTGTTCTTTTGGGAAGTCAAACGGGGCCCAAGCAAACTCCAAAACCCCTTTGCCCCTGAATTGTAGCAAAGCTGTAGTCCGGGACTCGCTCTTCAGACAAGCAGCACAGAGCCAAGGGCTCCTGGGACTTTTGGGAAATGCTGATCACATGCAAGCCTGTTGGGGGACTGGTGCATAAGGGCTGCACCTCCACAGCTTCTGGTGGGTGTCAGCTGGAGCGTTCCACAGACAACAGCAGCTGTCAATGCACTCAGTGTTCTCTTGTGTAGGACAGATGGAGACGCAGTTGAGGGGAGTCCCTGCCAGGGCTCAGCCTCACCTAAATGAGCAACGGATTCTTCCAGTGCTCTCACAGCTGCAGCATGAACCCCGGGATCATTTGAGCTCAGGTTCTTTGCTATTCCTTCTACCAAGCGGATCATCACAGGGTTCATGGCATCATCCAGGAGGCCTATGATTTCAGCCAGCACGTCCAGCGCCTTCTGCCTCACTTTCTTGTGGCTGTCACATATTCTCAGGACAAAATAATCAAAAATCTGTGAAGAGAACAAGCAACATGAAAGCTGGATTAAAATGTCCTTGTTTGAAGTGTGGATGCAGCACTCAGGAGATCCTTTCTCTCAGGTCAGCACTTGCTTGCACAATTTCACTGTTTTCCTGTGGGCCACTCACTGGAATGGTTGTGCAACCTCATGCTGCTTGAATGATTTTCTTCTGTTTTTAAGTGTTTTGGTTGGGGACAGAATAGTTCCTATGGCATTTCTCTCCATCTATAAATCATTAAATCAATTCCATTTATTAATGCAAAAGGCTACCTTTGCTTTACAAGTATGGAAGCAGATATTTACAATGCCCATTTTTCTATACAGTTGCCTCAAATACTGAGGGCAATTATGATTTTTCCAAAACTATGGCTGGAGGAGATCTAAGTTTTATTTTGTTTGTCTCAGAATCTGTGTCTGGAGAAGTGCAGGGCTCCAATCAACCCCTCCAGGATCCAGACCACTTCTCTAAGTAAAAGGTGGACTTCTGAAATGCAATGTGCTGTACAGCTCTCATTAGAGCAGGTTCAGTCCCCTTGACAGCCACATTATCAGACACCTTTTTCTGGAAAAAGGGAAAAAGCAGCTACTGGGAGGAGAAGGCAGAGATCTGTCCTTAGCTGTTTTCCTCCTTTTCCAAAGAGAAAAAAAGGCTCCCCAAGAAGGCTGAGAACTGTCTTTACCAAGAGGAATAGGGACAAGGATGGAAATGAGTAGCCAGAGTTGTGCCTGTGTAAGACAAGATGGAGTTTACAGATGTATTGTTTAAAAAATCCTGGGTTTAAACCAACCCAGCCTGATACTTCTGTTCCCCATGCAAGCCCATTTTTAATCTGGATAATAATTGCCATGCTTTCAGTGGCTGGATTCCCTTCAATTAACCCAACTGGGAGTAGGAGACAGCAGCAGTTACACCAGAAGAAAATTCTGTCATCATCTGATGAACAGCCTCAATAGGCACCTGCCAGACAAATACAGCTGGACTGAAATAACTTGTCCTGAAGCCTGGACCTGAATTAAATTTGTCTGGGTAAGAGGGACCAGCCTGTCCCAAACAGCCAGGATGTTGTGCCAAGACACACTGAATTACCTTTACCCTACAGGCTTGGGAAAGGAGCTAAAGGAAGGGAAGAATGAAAATACCCTACATACTTGGACAATGTTCTTGGAGATTAGCTGGGGGCTGCTTTTGCACAGCTCTAGGAGGAGTGCCACTCCTTCCAGCCGTGTCTGAAACCCCTTGGCTTGCAGGAGATGGTAAAGCTTCTGGAGCATATCCATCTCTTCCACAGCTGCAGGTAACGTGACCTGGGCTTTCGCACGGTGTAATAGGCGTCCATCAGAAGTAGACTCCACCCTGGAAAACAAAACCAAATTAGAACCTGTTGGTGATGATACCTTCAGTGAAATGTGAGCAAATATCTTGAGGAGCTTTCCTAATGATGTGATTTCAAGCTAGAAAATAATGAGGCTCTGAAGAACAATGTGAACCTTGTGACAATCATTATGGGAGACAATCTGCAAGTGACATTCTCACACTGCTCACTCAGGAAAACCAAGGATGAGATGCATCTGATCTATCTTCAGATGGCTTCCAAGGCACACAGGTCACATTGCTTTGTGGGGAAAGAGAGACGCTACTTCCAAGTTTAAATGCCTCCTCATATGGGACGTGTGTGTCTTTTAATAAGGCAACTCATTGCTCTGGAGAAGTGCCTCTACAACCAGCCATGACAATTTGGAAAAGTAGCTCAGATGCATCTGAACAAATGAACAGGGACATACCTGAAGGATCCAGAAAATCAGTAACAGAGATAAAACCAGAAGCCAGATATCCCAGAACTATGCTCACATTTCATTTGCTTCCCTAGAGACCAGATCCACAGCTTAACAACCCCACTGGGAACAATTCTCCTGGATCATCCTCTCTCATTCATGAGCACGGGAAGATGCTAGCCATGCTACTGAGGCACGTGGTCACTTTCCTGACACCACTGAGTGTGACAGAGCTAAATAAATCCCCTCTGTTATCAGAGGAGAACAGGTACAAGTCTCTGCCATTGGCATGGAGAGACAGCGAGGACAAAATTCCTGTCTTAAATGCTGATTGCAGCACAGGAGGAAATCAACCAAGCATGCTGTCCATCAAGCAACCTATATGAAGGACAGGAATATCAAGACAAAAAGCCCACATTGAGACACCTGTTGACCAAAGCTGCTCAGGAACTGCCTTGCTACTTACTACTCAAACTTGGTACTGTTTGAGGGTAAGAAAACCATGATTCAGCCAGGCCAAACCACATGGATGAGGACTGCATCTTTGTGGAATGGCATCTTGCTTCTAGACTGGGACTGCTCATCAAAATACCCATCTGAAAAAGATTCCACTCAGATGAAAAAAGCCCTGGTTGAATTTACTATCCCAAGTCAGGCAGCAGAAACTTGGCCCTGGCATAGCCTCCACAACTGTGCCCTTGGCATTGCAGTGGATTGTCTGAGCTGCAACCAATGGGTGTCTTTTTGTCTCTCCATTTTTGTGAAAACCCCTCCAGAGAAGTTGTGTTCAGTGTAATGCAGAGGTAGACATTTTTTATCCTAGAGCGTTTGTAGGGAGAGGAAACAATCCCTGGCACTGGTAATCTCTGCCAGAAAGATTTTCCTGAGGGAGAGGCATGTAAAGCTTGTCATGTGCTTGGTCACATCTCACCAAAGTGCTCAGTACCGTTTGCTAGAAGGCATCGTGTCCTGGGGCTTCTTCGGGCCATCATTCCTCTTCTCCACCGGCTCCTTGACAGATGGGCATTCACTCTTCTGGTTTTCCATCCCCTACAAAGACACGGAGAAACCCCATCAATCTTTAGAATATAAAATAGGAAATTCCCTGTTTAAAACACCAGTTAGAACCAGGATCACTGCTATCAAGGCTTAGGGAAACATTTCCTAACTTACAGAAAGAAACGGACCAGAGATTCAGTGATGCCAACTCTTTGTTTTCTATAGCCCAAGGCAGGTTATGGGTGCTACCATACTGAGCAGCAGTCTAAACCCCCAAATTCATTAATCTTGAGCACAAATGGGAATCATGCAAACTGGTAGGCAATGAGTGTTCTTAAAGGAAGCAGCAGAAAAAATGGGACTCTTTGGGGATCGGCCCATTGTTTGGAAGTTGATTTGGTTCAACACTCACTCTCCCTGTGCCTGCAGAAAGGCAGACTCCCTTCTATATTTTCAATTAAAAAAAGTAAAATCCCCCTCCAAACAAACAAAGGATTTTTCGCTGGATGCTGCTGGATTCACCAAGCTTCTTCCAGCTCCACAGGGCGTGACAGTAGGGCAGTATTCCCAAAAGACAGATTGTAATTGTAGCAGCTAGGATTGACTTGGACATCTTTTGTATATTTGGAAATTTTCTTGGTACTACTACTTCTGGTGTCTTTTGCAAAGACACTGTTATCTTCAGACTCTGTTATCTCCTATTCTCATTTAATTGCTTTACTGGGGGCAGAGCAGGGAGAGCGTGGTGGGGGCCTTACTCTTAAATATAAATCCATTTTCTCCTCTTTCCCTTTCTTCTTTGTGACCAATATTCAAAATATTCAAAACTTCACTTTTTCCCTAATAATATCAGTCCCTTTGTGGCCTGCAAATGAACAGGCTGAGGTTTAACAGCTCATTCCCAGGAGCAAAATGATGCAGCAGAAGAGGAATGAGATAAAGACAGATTGGGTATGTTTGACCTCGTATGAGCAGTGGCAATACTTGCACAAAGGAGACATTTCTCCTGCCAAGCACTTACCTTCTTCTTAATTCTTGTCAGAATGTCTTCCAGGTCACGGGTGGAAAGAGATCGTTCCAAAAGCATTTTCAATTTTTGGTGACTCAGAAACACCTTCACCATCTCCTGTCCAAAATGCCTAAGGAAGGATGGGAGAAAGGAAGGGAGGAAGGAAGGGAGGAAGGAAGGAAACGAAAAAATGAACAAAGGAAGAGTTTTAACAGAAGAGGATGATATCTTAAACTCATCAGGTGCAATCCTTGCATGAGAAGGCATTTCCTACTCAGCAAAGAGGGAGATTTCCCTCCACTTGACACTGCACAGTGTTGTCAGCTGAACACAAGAGACAAGAGGAGGATGTGGGGCCACAGAAAAATACCATTTCACTCTGAAACTGTGGGTATTCCCAGAGAACATGCAAAACACATCTGCTTTGTTGTCAGAGCCTATTAGCAGTGTCCTGCTGCCATCGCACAATAATTTGCCTTTCTTTAACTGGCAGGGAAGCCAGGACAAAACACCTCATGCATCCTATTGATTATTCTATACTATATGTATGCACAGAGGCAGCTAGTTGCTCTGGTGTTCTTGGCAGCTATTAATGGGAATTTCATCATCAAAGTAAGGGGCTTTTGGTGGTTTGGGTTGCTTTGGCCACTAGGAAACCACAGTCTTCTTCAAGAAGAAATTTGGAGGTCACTGAGCCACAGATAACAGCATTGCAGAAATCTGCAGAAGGGATTTAGAAAGACTGAATACATTGGCTAACAAACCCTGAAATATTTCTAGGAAAGTCTTAATGAGAAACAGATGTTTGGGATCCTTCAGTGAATAACATTAGCCAACACTTTGGCTTTGTGTTGTGCACCTAAGACCAAACAAAACTGTTTGACTGGCTAATTGGAGCTCTTTTGATCTCAGTAAGAATCCTTCAAGTTACAGGAAGTTGGCAATGCACCTTTTTGCTGGCCAACCTCAGGTTACCCACTACAGTCATTTCCCAGGCAACCCAAAGCAGGGGTCACAGCACCAAGGCTGACTGAGCTCAAGAAGTGTTTGGACAATGCTCCCAGGCATGTGGAGTGACTCTTGGGGCCCCCTGCACATGGCCAGGAGATGGACTGGGTGACCCTGACAGGTCCATTCCAACTCAGCATATTCTCTGAGTCTGTGCCCCTTAGCCACATCGTGAGGTCACTTATTATTTCCTTTAGTTTCCATTAATTTGTGGTTTTACCTTTCTAGCCAGACACAAAACGGTTTTCCTGTTTGAGGAGGTGAAATGAAGATCATTACCTTGTGTCCTGGTGACAGTCCTGTGCAAGCTTCCCTGCCACGTGTGCCAGCATCTCAACCCTGGGGGTGTCTGCGAGCTTTGTGACTCCCATTCTCTCCATCAAAGACAGGAGGAGCTCGGCTGCGCACTCCCGCACCTGGGCACAGCGGCTCCTGGGAAGAAGAGAGCAAACCCTGGGCACAGGGAGAAGGAGCAAGAGCAGCACAGGCCTTGGCCAGAGCCTGCTCCCTGTCCTTGCTGGGGGAAGGAGGCCTGGCTTCTCCCTGCAACTTGAGACACCTGTAGAAGGTTCAGTTCTCAGATAAACACAAAGCTAGCATTGTACAGAAGGACTGCCTGCAAGGAACAGGGCGGAATTCAGTCTCCCTGCACTATCTGATACTCCATTTCTTTCACAGTATTTTCTCTGAGAAAGATTAAAGGAATAGATCACATATGAATTATTAAGAAATTAAGGACAATTCATGCTGACCCATCAGAGGGCACCCACTACACAGAGCTGCAGCAGGATTGACACTCTTTCCACCCATTTCTCCCCAAATCTGCAGACCTTCAGAGAAAAACAAATGCAGGGAAAACATGCTGTGGGCTGCGAAGTTGCAGAATATCCAGCAATGCAGCCTGTTTCTTCTGTGAAGCTTGGCAACGGATATATCTGAATGTTTTACCCTACTGAAAAGCTGAGGAAAGGGTGGCAGGCAGTTTAGCCAGGTTGTCCTGTTCTAGAGAGTGCCTCTTGGCAACTATCAGCCCAGCACCAGCACTTAAGGCAGCATTTGCTTCATCTGTCCCATGGCAGTTGGCCTGTGAAGGTGCCTGTCAAGTGATTCATCATCTCAAGGCTAACATGAAACATCAGTTTGAATTGAAAGTAGAGCTCTAAGGCCAGGACAGTCATACAAGACTCCTTTTGGCAGGAGCTTTACTTGCTGTGTAGGCTGTGCCTCACCAACACATTCTCCCCCATGTGCTCTAGGCACCAGCAAGCACCCTCCTTATTTCTCAAATTAATGGCATCATGAGGAGACATGGTTTTCCCAGGGCCTCTGTGGTTAGTGCTGTTAAATACCAAACACCATTCACAGCTGCAAAAGCACAAAAGCACAAGGCTCTATCCTTGGCCTTTCATTTCCCCAGTGGTCACCATGTCTAGGAAAATCTGACAGACTGGGAGAACTCCAGGAGGCAGCAGGAAGCTGCATCTGAGGAGCTCTAGTTTAGATATCAGGAGAAAAGTTTTCCACCCAGGGGGTGGTTGGGCACTGGAACAGGCTCCGCAGGGCAGTGGTCACAGCACTAAGCCTGACAGAGTTGAAGAAGCATTTGGACAATAATCTCAGGCACTTGCTGTGACCCTTGGGCTGTTCTGTGCAAAGCCAAAAGCTGGACCTGATGATCCTGAAGGGCCCCTTCCAACTCCCCATATTCTACAGTTCTGTGATTCTGAGAAGTTCTATGATTCTGCTGCAGGAGGGCAGAAATAGGTGACAAGAGGAAAAAAATGAGGTAGATCAGAGAATCAAGTCCCTGAGTTCACAGAAGATGCAGGATACAGGACTCTTCCCTCCCACCATTCCCACTCTCTCTCTCATCCCTTCCCCCTCCCACACGCTAGAAGGTGAAGAATATCACTAAAAGAGGAAGAACCTACTTGACTGCCCTGTCCATGAGAGCAATCATTGCTCGTGCAGGAGTCACATTTTCCACCATGAGCCTCAGGGCATGACAGGCTGCCTTCTGAATGAACTCTGGGGTGTTCCACACCACCTGGAGAAGGACTGGAGCAACCTCATCCACCTCAGAGTCCATGTCCTTCTTCAGGTTTGCAAAGAACTCTCCCAGAGTGACAATTGCGGAGAAGGACACCTTTGAACGGAGGTTGGTCACCTGGGGAAGTCATGAGGGAAAACATAAGAATCACCTTGAAAAGAAATCAGTTGCCTTCGACAGAAGTCCCAGGAAATGACAAAACATCCTGCTGTGTCCAGAGGAACATAAAAGCACAATAAGAGCAGAAGAGCACAAGCACAGAAAGCACTTACTCAATTTCTGGCCTCAGACCTGCTTACTGCAGTCTTAAAAACAAAATTCACTAAAATGTTCTATTTTACACTTCTAAAATGCCCACTACTTTGATTTCAGGTCCTTTTGCTAGTAAATTAAAACAAGGACTGCTTTCAAATCATAAAGGCACAAGTCATAAAGATAAAAGAGTCAGGTGCTCCTATTCCAGAAAGCAACATTAGCAGTTGAAGCACTCAGCCAGGAAACAGAAAACACAGCCTCAGGTCTACAGACTAATTTGCAGTGTTGAATTACAGTTTGGGCAGAGATTAGGATTCTGGTAAATAATGTCATTAGTGTCTCAGTTTCTGCATTTGCACATTGCATTATAATGGCACCTCACTCAAAGACAAGTGTCAGATACCTGACCTACCAGTAAATACAGCTCCATGTACACACAGAGCCTACAGATAGCTGACAGACATTAGAAATAGAAGGTCTAAAACCAGAAATGAAGACATGCCCTGAGCACACATGGAGATGAACAAGCACACACCTACTCTACACACCATGTATGAAGTATGGGGAACAATTCAGAGCAATGTTCTCACCTCGCTGGTAAGTGCCAAGCAAATATCCCGAAGTCGAGAAAGCAGGACATCTGAATGGGACTCAGCCAGCTGTTTGATCTTGAAGAGTCCCTTCTCCTTCTGCTCCCTGAAAGGCAAGTACCAAAAAGATTGATATTTCTCTCCATCCAAGAACTAGGCAGCACCCTCTGAAATGACCGGGCTGGCAGCTCATCCAAACCACGGGAGGTGCTTTTTTTTCAAGGAGCACTTAATGAAATTGTGGAACGCGTTGCCACAGGATGCTGTGGCTGTCAAAAGCATATAAAAATCCAAGAGGCAACTAGAGGGGTATCAGAGTCTTCATTTGTGGCCGTTTAAGAAGACAGTATTTCTGAAATCTCTGGCACATGATGCCCCTCTGTCACTGCTTCCTAGAAGCTGTGAGACTGGACCATGCTGCTGTGTCTTGTCACCTCCCTGTACCAGTCCCTGAGACACAGTTCCATGGGGCTGTTCCTGGGACATTTTCCTTCTTTGTCAGCCCCAGCAGGCAGTTCAGCAGTGACAGTCTGCACTGGCACTCTGGAGCTGAGTTTCCCCTCTTCAGTCTGGGCTTTTGTGTCACCCACTCCACCTCACACACTCCCCTAAAAAGCAGCAGGATGTCCTAGAAGATTCCACCCCTGGGCAAGAACTGTTGAAACTCTGGCTTTTCCCAAACCCCCCTACCTAAAACAACCCCCACAACAGCAACATGTTATTTAAAAGTTGCAAACAACCCCATCTCCCAGCACTTGCTTTGCGCAGGCCCTCAGCTAGAGGAAGGTCTGTGAGGCATCAGGGCTGCAGCACAGGGCTGGTGACCGATCCCACAGGCACCCCTGAGTGTCATCCTGACCCCCCACACCTGCAGGAGCTCTCTGCACCTCTCAGGGCACCAAAGAGAAATGGGGAAGAGAAAGGGCAGAGCAAAGGCAGCCGCACAAGGAGATGCATTGTGGCAGATTTTTCATGGTTATGCCAGTGTGAATGGAGGCCTTACCCCTGTGTGAATGAAGCATCCACCAGAGTGATCAAAAAGACACCAAAAAGAAAACCAATATCACCTAACATTGTAGGGTTATCACCTCTGGGCTTCCTTCTGCCTGTGTATAATTTTGGGACACACTGTGAGTATTGACAAAACATCTCAGGCCCATATGAAGCAGTGAGAAGGAAAAAGTTGAATTCCAAAACTGCAAGATTCCTAGAGGATTTTCTTTTTTCCTTCTATTCTGCCATGAGCCCTTAGGAGTAATGACAGGCTGAGGGACTTGAAAGCACAACTCAGTCCATTTCTCAGAAAGAGGAACTCCCTGGAGCTGCTTCTGGGACTGCCATGCAGGAGGTCACAGGGAGACCCTGTCACCTGCCATTGCTGGCAGCAGTGGGAGCAGAGAGGAATCCTACTCAGTCCCACTGGGCCAGTGGCCCACGGCACCCAAATCTCTACACTCAAAACTGCTGCCATCCTGCTCTGCCTTCAGCCAGCAAATCATCTCATCCCACAGCTTTCTCTCTTCCCTCAAGATTTCCTTTGCAGCCCCATGGAGCAGCAGGCAAATGGAGGAAACAGCACAGACCTGCTGCAGCTGGAGCACTGCTGCAGAGCAAGGCTGAGAACAGGCTGCTCTCAAATCTTTATCCTCTCAGTGCTCTGCAGTGGTTTCACCAGTGCCCTTCGGCCCTCTGGGCTCTCGGGGCTCAGAGGCACCAGCAAGACTCACTTCTAACCAGCCTTAAGGCTAAGAGGGACACAGAGTGAACGGGGCCTTTCTTACCAGTCATCGCTGCCGAGCAAGGACAGTGCCTCCTGCAAGGACTGCTGTGGGTCTGCAGAGGCCGTGTCCTTCTGCACAGTCCCACGGCGTGGCTGCTCTCGGCGCTGGGCACCAGCGGCCATCTCCGAGGTCACTGTAAGGACAGGGTCGGCCATGGGCGCTGCAGCCCCGGGCGGGGCACCCCGCCATGGAGCGGCCTGCAGCCATCTCCCAGCCAGGGCTCCACGGGCACACACGGGCACTGGGGCAGAGGCTTCCCTGCTGTCGGGCACCTTGGGCTCCTTGCTTTCCCCCAGCCTCCCCGGCTGGGCACAGCTCCAGGCTAAACCTGCCCATGGCCCCGCAGCGCCAGCTCCGAGTGCCACAGGTGCCACAGCCAGCGGCAGTTCCTGCGGCCGCAGAGCTCCCGCTCCCTGCCAGACAGGGCCGGCAGCAGGACTGGCCGGCCAGGAGGGAGCCCCTCAGGTGCCTCTCTTGTCTCAGCGCCCTGATTTCCCCCAGCCCTGAGGATGGGGCACTCTGCAACTCCCTGAGGAGAGACCTGCAGCTGCCTGGCCACAGCACCGAGCCAAGCCTGAACAACCCAGCCCTGCTGGGCCCGGCTCAATCCCCACGGAGCAGCTACCAGGGAACAGCCACACCTGACCCTTCCCACTGACAGCGCCTCTGCGTCCACTGACCTCCAATATTCTAGACAGCAATGTCTAGAAATATCGTAGGCTAAATGTATGTGCAGCTGAGTACATATACATTTAGCCTACTATTGGGAAGGGACTACTTTATGGATTCTTTCCAATCATCATGAACCTTTACTCTCTTTACACATTGGATGTATCTCAAAGATGCTGAGGTGAATTTTATTTGTCATCTAACAGATGTGTTTGCCAACTCAGCATTTCTGAGATTTATCTTGTGGAAAAATGCAATTTACAGACTAGACAGTTGATAAAAAAGCCTTCCAAATGCACTCTGAGGATAAAAATATGCAAATACAGATGCACATTGTTGGCAGATGCACTTTCTTGTTCATCAGTTGACCTGGGTCTGCCTCAATTGAATTTTTTGGTACAGAAAAAACTTTACAAGGTACCAGAAAAATCAGATGATAAATGCATTTCTTATGAAACACATTTGTCATCAAAAGCACTGTTAATCAAAAAGTTCACATCATGCACTCAAAAGCTCATTTTCTAATGTGTAGATGAAAACATTTGAGCTGTCTAAAATGATGGAGTACAAATATTTCCCAGAATCTAGATGAACTGCTCTAGACTCTGTAGGGTTTTTGTGCTCCCTTGCATGTTCTCACAAAGTATGGGGGAACCATAACATCAAAAATATTCAGACAGGAGCTAATCCAGGTGTCACTGATGTACCCCAGCCGCTGACACCAGTGGTGGCCCTGCAGAAGTATGTAGACATGCACATCTAGATTCATTATGGATGGAGAGCCACGTCAGGCTAGTTCTGCTCAATTCTGAACATGGAAGCAGCATCACTAGAAAAGAGCATTCCAAGTATCATTCCTAGCTCCCTTCTTCTTATCTCCCCCTACTTGGGATCACAGCACAGGCAGGCTACCCACAAAGGAGAGACAAGAGCCACGAGGGACCATCTGCTGTGGATTTGCTGCAGGCAGCCCCTCGTGCCTGTCATCTGCTGCACACAGCCACTCTGTTTGCTGGGTGGCACAGGAGGCACTGCTTGTTCCCTCCTGGCATTGCAGCCCGTGGGATGGTGGCAGCGAGGAGCCATCGGGCACTGCTGGGAGCAGCAGCACGACTGCACCGAGCTGCTGACTGCCACGCAGAGACAGCCCTTGCTGGGAGAGCAGAAAACACGGCTGCAGAACTGGACAGCAGCACAGGCAGAGGGCCCAGATGGTGAGTGCACAACTGATCCTGGTGGTTCTTGTAGGTGCACAGTGAGCACACCCTGGCACACTGCCCTGCAGCTCATCCCTGCAGTCACAGCTGCCTCCTGGCACCAGTGCTGTAGTTTGGATTATCAGGATGGGCAAAAGCCAGAGCTTAGGCCTTTACCATGATTTCATTCAGCTCAACTTTCCAGCGGATCTCTAAGAACCAACTGCTGCAGTACTACCAAGCTGGAGTAACTCAAAGGTAGATTTGATGTTCAATCTCAGGACAGGCTCTGGACCCAGGATCCCAGCTGTGCTGGCTGAGGCAGGAGGCAGTTTGTGCTCCTTGGGCAAGGACAAACCCGTGCAGGAAAAGCTGCCACGGAGCAGGCTTACCTGAGGAGTTGCTTGGGACGCTGGCATCCCCATGGACGATGGGCGGTAAGGACACGCTGTCCTGCTTTCTCAAGACCTTTTTCTTCAAGGCACCACCAGGGTGTTTTTTCTGCACTCCAGAAGCTGTGCCATCGATAGGTGGTAGGCTAATCCCTGCAGGGACCAAAGAGGAGCTTGTAAGTGAAGGGTGCTGGACAGGGTGATGATGAAAAGGGCCTGAAAACTTGCTGGAGGTGGGTAACATTTCTGTTATCCCAAAGAACTTCAAGTATAGCAATGATATACCACTTTATACCAAGTATAACGCTAACATGGGCCAATGATCACAGAATCACAGAATCCAAGAAGAGTTTTGGCTGGAAGGCACCTTGAAGCACCATTTAGTCCAACCCCTGTGAGCAGGGACATCTTCATCTCTGGTGTTTTCATTAAAAGGAACTGAATTTTGTTTCTTCTAGGTTGCAAAGCATTCTTTTGGAGTCACCTTCCCTGGAGTCTGCTCTCCAGGAGAGAGTCTGAAGCCCCAGTGTACTTTTCAAGACAGAATTTTCTACTCTGAAAGACTTTAGAGGTGAAGGTGGGAAGCTGATATATTCTGTTACTGACTCAATGAGGCCACAGAGAAGACACTTTATGCCTCTGTATTTTTCTTTGGGAAACAGAAATAAATCCTATTTAAGCTTCCACTCAGATGCAAGCCGAACAGCCCCCCAGTCTGATTGCAACAATGTGCAAAGGGCAAGCAAGTGGTCAGAAAGGACCACAAGTGTAGCCACCACTTACTTGCTTCATCTCCAGGCTCAACTGTCTCAGGAAGCTGCAAGAATCTATTATTTTTTCTTCTATTCTTAATCCCTTCCATTATATGCTCTATGTCCTCTGGCTCTAAGTGCTCTTCAGCCAACTGCCACAATGCAGCACGGATCTAGGTGCAATGGAAATACATCACAGACTGTAAGCAGAGACACACAAAGCAGACACAACATCTCATCCCGAGCACAGAGTCCATAGAGTGCCACAGGCTTCAGTGCAGCTCCATAGACATTCCAGTAGTTTCAGAGGAATTTCTCCCATCCTCACCTTGGCAATTACACACAGCAAGGTGGAACCCTTCAGTGCCACAACCTTACACTGCTGCAACTGCAACCTATGTCAGGAAGCTCTGCTTGAAGCATGAAAGTCATAGGAGTGCTCCAAGACAGATAAAGAGCTGACATGACAGTGAGCAGGCAGTTCAGTTCCTACAGGCCATGGCAGGAGAATAAAAAACATGTGCAATACCCAGCAAGGAGGGGTAATGAGCTGTTGCTTAACACTCATGGCCAGGAATTGCAGCTGTTTCTCCCTTCCTGCCTTCTGAAGGACTCGGCTCTGAAGGGCTCTGGAGGACTTGGTCTCTGAGACCATGAGACCAAAAAGAGGAGTCATGAAAACAAGTTGCAGAAACACTGATGTTAATGAGCAGAAAACTTGAGAGTGAGGGGGCTGTGAGATACGGCCACAAAGGTAACCCAGAAAAGTCAAACTCTCCCATTTTATTTTGCAGCCTTGCTTACACTCAACATTAGAATCTTTGCTTCTCTGCTTCTGAGGGTGCACTTTGCCTACATTCACTAATGTGTAGCTTACTCCGTCATCCAGAACTTCTCTAAAACAGCCTTTGCACATAAAGTATGCTTCTGGCATGACCTTAACACCATCTCCAAACTTGACACCACTGGAAATAGCCAAGCAATTGCTCTGTAGCTGTCAAATATATTCCCAAGAGAATCCCCTTCCCCCAGGAGGGGAAGATTATGATTTTCAGTGACATTGTGGGCCAAGTACTAAATAGCCACTGGAAAGGAGGTCTGCTCATCCCTGTCTTTATTCCTTACCTTTCTAAAGCCTTCCTTCATCTCTTTGTCACTGCTAAGACCAGGACTGCTGGGATGACCCAGCTCCTTGGCCCGGCTCAGTGGGAGGCCTGGTAATGGAAGCAAAGGCTCTCGTAAATCTCTGGCAGACTTCAAACCCCCAAAAACACCATGCTGGGCAACAGGCAAGACAGGTTCCAGATTGCAGAGCTCCCATAAAACACAGAGACTGGGATTGAGAGCAGCAAGGTACATCTGCCTAGACCCTCTCCCAAGGGATGGGCTACTGGCAGCAGCCATTAATTTTCTCTGTTGGCCAGCAGACTGAAACCTGCTGCATGATGAAGGCTATAGCCCATGGATGCTGGAGAGCCTCTGTGTTTGAGAGAGAAGGGCAGAGATGGAGATTGCTCTTGACAGAGATTGCTATTTGCCCTTATTCATGCTGATTTTAGTAAACATCTTCCTTCTCGTTCCTAAAAGAAGTCCCGTTTTCTAATACCTGTATGCATTTAGCAACATTTTCTTCTCTTTGTTAGAATATTTTAGAGGAAACTCAAAGAAAAGCTTAGTATTGAGGGACTGTTACCCAAATGTGAAATGTGTTCTTGACACTAGATAACGCATTTTCTAACTGTAAGAGATGCACCTTCCACTTCCTCTCCCCACAGCTGAGCAGCCCTACAGCTCCAGGGGCACTGGGAGCACAGCTCATCGCAGGGGCACGTGCAGGGCACAGCTGTTCCCTGGGAAGGTGCACAGGCTCTCCAGGCTGGCACAAGACCCTTCCTCCCACCAGAGAAGGGCCCAGCTCCCCCCTTACCTTTTTGTGAGGCTGAGCCATGCTCAGCCTTCGCCTTGGCCTCCCTGGCAGTGACCCTGGGGCCAGCGCTGCTCCGCGGCTCCTGGGCCAAGGTCCCCTGAGCTGGCCGGGGGCCGAGACCTCCATTGCCAAGGCCGGGGTTTGGCACTTGGGGCCTCAAGCCAAACAGGTCAGCCAGGTCCCTCGGGAACAGAGGCATCCCAGGTCCTATCTTGCACCAGGAGTTCTTTGTCTTCTTCTTCTCCGTTTTTGGTGTAGTCTCACAAGAAGCTGTAATTCAGGTACAAGAGAAGTGAGTTCATTGAACTCATGCCTTTACAATCAGCCCATCTAATGGGTGAGGAATTCAAAGCAAATTTTAGTTACTGAAAAGATTGGTTGGTTATTTTTCATGAAACTAGCATCTGTTTAATTTCTCTGAACAATATGGAGCTGGCAAGCCAGGAGAGAAGGGTTCTACTACTTTATGTGTTGCCTGTTGCCTCCCCACTACTTCAGGATGCCTTTGCTTCCAAGCAGTGGGAAATTCACAGTGGCCTCTAGAATGTGACTCTGTCTAGGAAGTAATTGTTTTCAAAAGTAGTTTTCAAGGCCTCTGTTTCTGTAGGTCCCACTCAATTCTATGTTGGGTTTTACACTTTTGGGATTTTTCTATTACTCTTTCCAACAAAGGAAGTGCTGGGACACAAACAGTGGAACACATGTTAGATGCAAAGGAAGCTTTGCTTTCTCCTTTAATGTGCCCAGTATTCAGCAAGCCTGTATTTGTAGGGAACAAAGTGGTCATCCAAAAGTTCCACTTTTGCTCCACTTACCTGATCCAGGGGTTTATTCCCTACTTTCTTTTCAACAGACCCTCAAACGCAACATATACATGACCTGACTCAAAACATTTCTGATCTTGGCTAATACTGTCAATTCAAAATTTGTTATTTCATTCTGAAATACCCTCCAACAGAGCTGTTAGAACTAAAAGAACTAAATCTTTACATGGTTTCACAGAGGATAAAATCATATGGTAGCCAAGCAGGATGAGTGTCTTAAAACTGGATTCTTTCACCCTGTAGAATGCTGGGGTCAGTAATAAAAGTTGGACAGGTAAGGTTTAATGAGATAGGTCATTTCTAGTCCAGAATTAATCCAGCAAAAATGGCACCTTACTTACTGAGAAATACTACACCCTAGCTGCACTAAGCATTCCAGATGCATATCAGCAATTAAGGAGTCATTCCAAAGTGGCTGTACCCAGGATTGACAGAACTAACCCTGGGCAAAGGGACCAGGGGAGCTGATCCTTTTTTCTGCATCAGCAGAATTATGTCTTCAACTCTCATCTCTCCTATCATTACACACCCAGAGATGGCAAATGAACAACAACAGTGTCACTGAGGCTTTCAACCTGAAAGCATTGGCTGACCCAGATGCACCAGAGACCACATTTTGTCTGGCACAATTCCACTTGTCTGGGATCAGGAAAGGCAGGGGCAGGGACAAGGCAGAAGGCATCTCCTCCACCAGCCTCAGCCTGCAACTCTGGCACAGGCAGAGGGAGCCAGGGAAGAGATTTGTCATCCTGACACTGCCATAGGTGCCTCTGGGCTTGTGCTGTCAGAGGATGTCAAACCCAGACCCTGCATAGGCTGCATCCATTTGGCAGCCTCCTTCTCCTTCATTGGAAAATTCAAAAGGACTTTCTGTCAAGCAGGAGGGAGGAGAGGGAACATTCCTCATTTCATGCTAAATGCCTTCTTTTTCCCTAGTAATTGTGACACTAGAAAGGTTGGAGGGAGATAAAAGGAATGAGGAGGATGGAGAGGGAGGTATCCTTTTCCTGCACTGCATTTCCAGGGCTGCAAGGTACCACTCAAGACTTCACACTGGAGGAATTTTCACTGCACCAGCAGAGCACGCTCCCAGTGAGAGTCCACTGAGCCCATCAAGGATTTGAAATTACTTTAAAGAAACTTTGAAAAGAATAGGTTTAAACCAAGCTTTACAAACGTTACTTCTGAGTTAAGATTACAATGTTAATTCTAGGACAGACATGCCCTCTACCTACCTGCATCTTCAGAGATCTTGTCTGGGCTTCTGCTGCTGGATCGTGACCTTTAGCAAATGGAAGACAAAAGAGCAAATGAGGAGGTAGAAAGAGAAGGGAGGGAATGGGTGTTGCATGAAAGGAGGCAAAATTTCTTAGCATGGTCACTCTGATGAAGGAGGAAATGCACCACAAACCCAACAAGAAGCAAAGCTGATTAAATTGTCCTTAGGCTCTCTGTTGCAGGAGTCACACAGAGCTGGCCAAGCTCTGGCTGAAACACAGCCAGATTGATTAAACATCAATCCTGTTATACATCTATACCCCAAAATTTATCGGGTTTCTCATTTCACACTCGAGGCCAGGCACAGTGAATTTACACCTGATTATTGCAGAAGCAGCACCTGAATTTACAAACACCTCTCCTGTAGACAGTATTTGCCCAAGCATATTCTCCTGGCTGCAGAATTTGACAGCCAAGGATCACAGTATTCAAAGATCTGCAGGATCCAGACCCATGAAATACAGTTCCCAAATGACACCGCTACAATTAAAAATGGAATCTATAGCCAAGTCCAGGAGAGGACCCATCTTGAGGTGCTTTGAAGCCCTGTCTCCTCTTCCCCACCACCATCTCTGCCCGTGGGGCTTATGGTGTTGGGTTTGACATCGTAATGGATCATCATGGATGGGCAAAATGGTGAATAAACAGAGATTTGCCTCAATACATGGAACACCTGACTGTGCAAAATGACCACATGAGATGGGAAGAGTGAGATGAACAGCTCACTGGAGCTGCAGACACCTTGGCTTACCTCATCTCCTGGGGCTTCTCGAAATCCTGATGTGGCAGGGACCCTGCAGCGCTGCCAGCTGGGGGGCTTCCTGCCTTCCTTATAGGGGGGATCAAAGGGGGTCCCAATAACCCCCTCTTCATATCCCCACCAATGGAATACAGCGAGGAAGCCTGGAAAGAGCAGAACACATTGCTCAGATCAAGCATCCAGCCTTGCCCCCATTCACACCTCAAGATATTCAGCTATGCCCTCAACTGGGACCTGGCAGGAAAAGTCAAACTGATGGTGGAGCTTAGACCAGGAGGGGAATGGAAAGGGAGGTGCTGAGGGAGAGACCATGTCTCAGATTTGCCACCTCTCCCCTCATGCACACTTCTCTGCAAGTGTGGCTTCATTCCCAGCAGGCATCCACATGTTGGACATCAAGATGTCATGGGGTGCCACTGCCTCCACTGGCATTTTAGATGGCATGGGAGTGGGTTTATATCACTATTCTCTCCCTGCTCCTAAAGGTACCTAACAGCCAGTGCTGATCTCCAGCCAATTCCCACAAAGCCATTCTGCAGGATGACAAAACCTCCTTTTTTTCAAGCCCCTCATTGCTTCTGCTGCTGCCCTTCCCTCCTACAGATCCCCAGCAGCCTTTGAGCCCAGATGCTGCTGAGTCTCAGGGTGCTCGCTGCTCTCCAGCTCCCACACTTCCATCATCTCAGGCTCACTGGCATTTAGGAAGTTCAGGAGAGCTCCCTGCCATGCTGCTCTCTGCAAGTTCTCAGCCTGCCCAATTCCTCCAGAGCCCCCATGCCATGGCCAGGAATGGGGCTGGAGGCAGCGGGGGCAGGTGCACACCCTTCCTTCATATCCCATTATTGCTGGCACAGCGAAAGAGCCAAACCAGGACCTGTTCAAACTTCAGTGAACTTCAAGTTCCTGTCATGGAAAAGGTCTCACAGCTCTGCTTACAGCACATCAAGTGAAACTTTACACAGGACTTAGCTTGGTCTCCTTACCTCACGTCCTTTTCCCTCTGGTCTCTGCTCCTGGATTTTCATCTGGTGTTCATCAGAGCCGTTGCCATTTTCCCCGTTCTCCCTCTCTCTGCCAGATGTCTGCCTTGGCATGGTGGAAGAAGAGCCCTTCTGGATGGGAGGCAACGGCCTGGATGGAAGGAGCCTTGAGGGATTTCCAACGGAAAACCTCTTGGCAAGAGGATATCCAGTCTGGTCTGCAAAGTGGAGACACAAAATGTAACAAAGGCCACAATGCAAACCTAAAACAGCTTAAGCTCCAGATTTCATGGGACACATTTCCTGCCAACTTCTAAACAGCTGCACAGGGAAGCATGATCCTGCTGGCAGCCCCTTGAGGCAGGCCAGGGGAAAACCCTGACCCACTTCCACAGGGTACCATGCTCACAAGGGAAGAAGTGAGTTAGCTGAACTCCCACCTTTATCATCAACACATCTTACAGCTGTGGCACTCGAGGGGAATAATTTTTAATTACTGTGAAAATTTCTTTGGCTTTCTTTTTCATGGAACTAGCCTGTGTTTAATTTCTCTCAACAGTATTGAGTTAGCAAGACTGAAGGGAAACATGGAAGGCCCCAATGATAAGAGGGGAAAAAAGATTCCTTCTTTGAGGCTGGCCTTTTGTAAATTCCCAGGAAAGACCTACACAGATGTGACTGCCAGTTCTGCAAACCACAAAGACCTCTCAGCAAGCAGGCAGGCCTTATTGGTGTTTCTATAGCACCGTAATACCATCCTCAGGGTTAGACATGATCAGCAACCCGAGGAAGAATGGGCAATTTATCTGTACTGAGACCCAGCATTGAGGGCAAAGAAAGAAACAGGACTTGCATCTCATGACCATGTCCCATCTGGCTGACAGTATGACTAATTTGGCTACTGTCAAAAAGGAGAAAGCAGAGTAAAATACTTAAAGAAGTTTGTGATGCCATGGTGTCTTTGCAGGATCACCTGTGTCAGCCACCTACTCTGACACAGAGCCAGCACTGGCCACCATGGACCAGTTTTCCCTGAAATCTGGTGGATTTTTTTTTTTTTTTTCCATTTGGCTTCAGCCTTTCACCTCCTTTCAATCCTCACCTTTGCCTTCAGAGTTTTTTCCTGCAGTAGAATCCATCTCAGAACCCGTGCTTCTGTCTCACAGAAGCGTCTGGGTTTGAATTCGCGAATAATCTCAGCGTACACAGCGAGGTTGGGTGACTCCAGTCGCCAGCACTCAGCTCACAGAGACAGAACCAGACACGTCTGCTGCCGCTGTGAGTGTGTCAACCACAACTGTCACAACCCCAGCGTGGAGCTGCCCCTTTGTGATGCGCTGGTCGTTCCAGCTATGGTTCTCTCGTTTCCATGGCTGCAAAACCACACCCCAGTTCCATCCCTCTCCCTTCCCCAGGGCACCCAGCCCTAAACCCAGCCAAGCTAGGCCTGAGGGTTTCACACTGTCTAGGAAATAAACCATTTCCAAAGCTACTTTTCAAGGCCTTTATTTCTGTCATTCCTACTCAGTTCTGGGTTGCAGCTTGTTGGTGTGGGATTTTGTTTCCTTCTCTTCACATCAAACTAAGTGGTGGGGCACAAACAGTGGCACCAGGTGGTGGAAGTAAAAGAAGCTTTGCACTCCCCAGAATTCAGTTGGCCAGTAGCTGTAAGGGAGCAAACTGACCATCCAAACATTCCACTTTTGCTCTGCTTCATTATTCCAGGGATTTATTCTCTGCTTTCTTTATTGCAGAGACACCCAACCCAACATAAACATCATCTGCCTCAAAACATTTCTGATCATAGCAGTTCCTGTCAATTCAAAATTTTCTTAATGGAAATAGCCCAGGCAGGTTATTCTAAACAGAGTGGATAAAACTAATCATGCTTGATTTGGCAGAACTAAGCCTGAGCCATGGGACCCGTGAGTCTGATCCCTTTTTCTGCATCTGCAAAATTATTTCTTCAGGTCTCATCTACCTATTCAAAGAAGCTTTGTACTCATCATTAGTATTCAGGGGGCTGATCTGATCAGTGTATCTGTAGGGTATAAACTGGCCATGCAAAGTTCTCCTTCATTGTGGCAGGGGTTTATTCCCACTTTCTTTCCTGCAGACACACCCATACCCAATATTACAACTCCTGCCTCCTGAGTTAGAATAGTTGGCTTCTTTTTAATACAAGTGTACCTGGACTTAAGCAGGGACACTGGGCTAATCATAGTGGGAACTGGTTTGTAAGCCTTGTCTCTAGCAATTCCCACCAGTCTGCAAGCATTTTTCAGTAGAAAGAGGGAGATAAGATTTTACAACACATTCATGAGCAAGTCTGACCAAGAAGCCAAAGCACAAGACAAATACTTCCAAATCTGCCACCCATGGGGAAAGGAAGCAGAAAAAAAGATTAAACAAATGCCATTGCAGCTGAATTGTCTGTATTTATCCCATGGTCCTGTTGTCAATGCAGGTGAACCCAACGGGAAGAAATGACCATGTCTGACTCAATTCAGAAGGCTGAATGATTTCTTTATTGCAACTATGCTAAAATACATTAATATACTATATAAAGGAAGATACTAAAACTACATTCTACTTTCTCTAACTCTATATCTAACTCTAACACAACTCATGACCCTTCTGAGAGCCCAGCCCCAGGTGGGTTGGATTGGCCATCAGGCTCAAACAATCCTCACCAGAATCCAATAAAGTACTCACTCCAGATAAACAATTCTCCAACCACATTCCACATGAGAAAAAACAAGGAGCAGAACTAGAAATTGTTTTCTCTTTCATTTCTCTCTGTGCGCCTCTATGAAAAATCCTGAGAGAGGGAGAAATGTGCTGTCACAACTATGTATGCTAAACCTTCTTGCTAAACATGGATATAGAGATTACACACCGAGAGTATGACATTAAAGAGGTTGATATGTGTATTATGACTACTTAGTGTTACCTTTCTTCTGTTGGAACCTGATTTGTTTGCAAATGCAACTAATAGGTGTTAACTTGTGCATAACTGGAAAGTAGACCTGCCTTAAAAACACAGTCTGGACAAGACACAAAAAGAATTGTGCAACACCTGACATGACTTGATTTTTTTTTCTTTTCTACAGCAAACTACCTTTAAAATAGGTAGTTTGCAGTAGAAAAGCAGCTGTTTTATATAGTTGCAAAATTCAGCAATATCTAGTGAAAATTCTTTCTGACTTGGGATACGCATATGGATTAGATGGTGGTAGACAACTTTATGTGCCAGGTCTGCCTCATTCTTTGTG